GAACGAAGAAAGTCCAATTAATGATACTTGCTCTGGTGATTCCAGTACACGAGTGATTTTAATTACTTAAAACAGACTACCATTTTCCATTTATTATTAAGGTCAAAAATTTCCAGATTACCAAACTGTGAATCGAATCGTCTATTCCTTCCCTAGAACAGATATACAGAGCATATGCATTTGTATGTATTTTCCAGCGCAATTGCTTGAATCTTTTTCTGATGCAATACACAATTTTTAAGATAAGGATCTTGTTTCTGGCGAAATTGCACAAAGAGAGAAATTAAGCAATTAATTTTTAATGAAAGCTCGAATACGAAAGTACATATAGTATCATAATTCAATTGTTTATAATATATTATTTGTAAAGCGGTTAACTACGGTTACAATGTAAGAATATCGGAGAAGATTGATTAGTTAGCGGAACTCGCTCTTTACAGAAAATATTAAAAGATTTAATTTCCACCCACAGTCTATATTATATTTTGGAGAAAAATTAAAAAAGTAATTAATGCCAAAATTCGTGAAGGTATTTTATCAAATAAAAAAGTTGTCCGTAGAAGAATTTAATTTTAATCGGTCACTTTCAATGGTAGCTATACCTATATGAACAATATGTTCGGACATTGTAACATTGCCGGGGCAATAGGCTATGCCAAGTTTCGTAAAGATATATTGTCAAATATAGAAGTGTTTCAAACAAAGACTTGGCGTTGATAGATCAATATGGCGGCTATATCCTATAGTGGTCCGATATCGGCGGTTCCGACAAATGAACAGCTTCTTGGTGAGAAAAGCCTGTGGTCAAAATTTCGAATCGATATCTCAAATACGTAAGGTTTAAATATATAGACAGACGGGTCTCCGACGTTTCTTTCTAAGTGTTACAAACTTTGTGGCATGTGGATATAAATAAATAATGCAAAACTTATGAATATTTGAAGAAATATTGTTTTTTTTTTTGTTGACGAAAAATATTCACTAAAAATGTTTATAACAAATAAAGTATTCGTTCAACTTTCTCAATAAGTAAAGAATTGAGCGAGTCATGTGTCCCACTGTGTCAACAAAGTATACGGGATTGAAATTTATTAATTTAAATAAAAATTATTAATATTTAAAATTTAATTCCCCTATAGTAGAAGGCTTCTAAATTGTAGTTGACGCTGGCTACTATAACATTACGAATGGCTACTGAAGTATACTTGAAAACTCAGATAACAACCTTGAGTTTACATTTTAGGAAGCACTTAAAGTATATGGCATTGCTCAAATATGTGGCATAAATAAAGTAAAATTGAAAACAATGAATTTAAAATTAAAATCTTTTAATAAGACTTAGAGTATTTCAATGGATTTAAAATTATTTGTACATTCGTCGTAAAATTACCCAGTTTTTAAATTAATTAATATTGGAAATTTTAAAGAATCTGAATAATTATTTCTAAATAACAATTTAAAAGAATGCAGCGTTACAATTATAAATACTAGTTTAATCACATTAATACAAAAAAAAAATGAAAGTAACTATTACTTAAAAATGCACAATGCGTTTATGCCACGAATTTTTTTAAGATAAATTTTAGTAAATAATTCAGTTAGAAACGCTCAAAATAAATAAATATTTTCTTTAAAGATATTATATATATGTATTCAAACACCAAAATAATGTAGTTGATTTTGACATTTCTGCGAGCTATTACAAGGGTTGATAGTAATCGATATTAAGCTCAGTTTCATACGGTAGGTATCCGATAGATATCCACTCCTAATGTGTATTTTGGTATACGCTTGCCGAACTGCAGCTATTTTCGCTATAGTGTAGAATGGCTGTAAATGATATTATTAACTAAACCTAAACTTTTGCGTACTAATGTAAGTATGTATATTAACACATATGTTATGGTAAGGTGTCCGTTATTTACAACAATGTTACTGGGTAACAATTCGCTGCTACATAATTCGATACTCCTTTACATTTTGAAATTTTCGGAATGATTGCAATTGCGCTCAATTTCAAATGAATACTTGCAATATAATAAATATGCTTAACATAACAAAAAATTAGCCAAAGAAAATAATTTTTGTGTACCGCGTAAATAAAGCGTACAAGAATTTGAAATAATGATATTTGGGAATAGCAAAATGTTGTCCGACTTGAGTTACTCGTGTGAACGCACTGGGCAAAACAAAAAGGGGAGTTGCTGATAATGGATAACATATTTTCACGTCTCACTCTCTAACTTTTTTAAAGTTTTGCTGGAGCAATAATTTCCAAATAATATTGTTTTGTTGACTCGAGAAAATTTTACAAATTTTCAAAATACGTATGTAGTTATAATGGCCACATGCTACTTTTTTATAGATATTTAAAAGCAATTAAAATCCTATATATGGTTCAAGTTTATGAAGGAACACAATTAAGGCAAAAATTTTAACTTGAATGCTAAAAATGATAAATGTTGTTAAACGCATCTTCTGTTGACCTATTAAGAAAATATTAAAATGAAGTTCGATAATATTATTCGCATAAGCTGTAATAAAAATTAATGAAGACATATGTATGTGTGTACAGACCGACGTAAACAGACAAGAAATGTATAGTTTTATTTAAGACACCTACAAATGTGCAACCAACGTCACCACATAAAATCCTGTGCATGTGTCCACCTTCTTTGATTAAGTACATACATACATCCATTTGTAAGTATAAAATTATATAAATACATATGTAATATTAATCTTGTTTACATATAGAGTTACATACCGTACGTACGATTGTACGATCTGTATGTAGCAAAAAGTACATTAGCAGTAGTAAGTTTACATGAATAAAAGAAATTTGAATAAACAAATAAAAACAAAAACAAAGGCTACTTCTTTTACATAACATACTACATACAAGTATGTACATAATTATGTTAGTGATCAAAGCGGTGCATATTAAATATGTAACGTTGCTAGGAAAATCTCAACTAATTAAACAAAATTGCAGAAGTACTTTATAATTGATTTGTGCTGAACCAACCAACCCATTACCTGGAAAAGTATTCTATACATATATATATATATAGAATACAGAAGTAGAACAAATACCCTACGATTTTGGCGTCGATATGTACTCAGACATATGTACATACATATGTAGATGTACATGTAGATGTAGATATACATATGTATGTATTAATAATGGAAACGGAACGGAAATTATATTTTTATTTATAAATAACTACACATATAAACTATTTAACTAATGCTCACTCAATTAAGAGATTAACTATTCGATAAGCTCATTTTCTTCTTTAGAACAGGCAATTCTTCTATAGTAACTGTCAAAAATGGATTTCTTCTTTAAAATAAAGACTTGAATAATATTTTTCCTCTGCTTGATTGTCTTCCTTTTTTCAAACGTTCTACCCAAATATTTAACAAATTTAATGACTTTAAAACATCCAATACAAATTACAATTGTAGACAATTAAAATTGCGAAAATCTATATTAATAACAGCAAGAATAAACAAAATCGGAAGCATTGGATATTTATGTATTTATAGATATATACATACATACTTAATAATTATTTTTTATATCTCAATAAAGTTACAAAGGAACTTGTATTATTTTACTTATTGGTTTGTGCGATAATATTTTGCAATTACTGCAAGGAAAACTACTTCTCCACACGAAATTATATTTTTCAAAAGCAAAAGGAGTTGAAAAGGCACATTCTCAGCCAAGTTTGACATCACATAAACATCGTTATTCTTAATTTAATTATCATAAGAGCTGAATTAGAATCAAAGGAAACACAATAAATACATAAAAAAAAAAACATAAATTATAACTGTTGTAATATTTCTTAGTAAATATGCTATGTAGCATATGCACTACAAACAGATGTACACATATACTACATACATATGTAAAAATAGGAACGTAATTCTGTAACTCATAGACTCGGTAAAAAAAAACTTATATGAACATTTACTCCCTCTTCATACAATTAAGTTCTTTGAGAAATTGTCACATTAAGTAAAGGGCAATCAAAGCAATTTGTAAATTGTGAGTGAAGAGAATTAAGCGGGGAAACGGTTTAAGGACCGACAAGCAGGCAAAGCAACAACTACTCAAACTTACAAGTACATATTTATGTATAAAGCTAAATAGTCATAGTTAATGGTTGTTTATTAAATTTTATTACTGCTTGTCATAGCATGCAACCTAGATGAATTGGTGCACTTCTGAATGTCTGCAATCATTTCCAAATTTGCGTGTTTGTGTAAATATTACTCAAAGGTGAAGACAACCCTGTAGAACAAAATAAAACACAGTTTATCTTGCTCAAAACAAATCAAATCAACAGATAAAATAATGCTCTTATATCGGTAGTCTGACAAATATATTGGTCAAGTATACCATGAATATTACTTTTCTTCGACTTTTATTTTTGTACTGTTGTTAACAAGTTGTATGATTAGAATCAGATTAATAAAATCGGGTCTGCGGGAAACAACATTTACCGTGGGGAAAATGTAGTGCAATTAAACATTTTATTCAAAGAAACATATTTGTAGTTTTGCATAGTAAAAACCAGCGTAAGACACTATAATCATGATTCAATTATATAAGGTTGTGTTACTAGGAGCGTACTTTCCTTACAAAAAAATTAAATTCATAATGTCAAAAAACTGTTTTTTTTTTCTCATGAATTTTCTGTTCACATTTTGATGATTTTATGTGATTTCCAATCTATTTGTATTCAGTTATCATTCAAAAACCGCATTTTCATTGATAGAAATCTTTGAAAAATTTATCTTTGAATTAAAAAAACAAAACAATACAAAGCTGATTTTGACATTATGAATTAAAACATTTTTGAGAAATTGTTGTTTTTTGGCTATCGATACAACCTTGCATAATTGAATTAATAACTTTATATTTTTAAAATGAGATCATTTCCTACAAGCTATCTTATTTACATACTTTTGAATGCGTTGATTTCCACAGTCGAAGTTTTCCTTGAAAAAGTTTTTTGTCATTTATTGAAATTTTTTTTGTCCCATTTGATTACATTTCATTAAGCACCAGGTAGGCAATTAACTTCAGACTCGCCAAATAGTCAGTATCTCGGAAGCAATAGCTATGTAAAGTCATTCGGTTAACATAAAAAATAAATATAATATTGTATATTTAAAATTTTTTATAGTGCATAATGCCGCGTAGAAGAAATAAAGTCGACCCGTTGGAAGAATTGGAGACCTGCACCAAACTCTTATGTGATCAGTCTCACAACCATATGAAAGTTCGAGAATACGATAAAGCTTTAATCGGTTACAATAAGGTAGTTAATGTAAAGAGCGGTGAAGTTAAAATCACATTAAGCTAAAATTATTGTTAGCAAAGTTTATTTTACAAAATATTTTAAAATATACGTCTGGTTACTTCCTAATATTTAAGTAAGTTCGGAGTTTTGAACTAAACGAACATCATTCTCAGGAACAGATTATGTAAGCACACCATACCATGGAAATAACCTAGAATCCAATATTCGTTTCGATGTATCACATTAACAGAGCTGCGTACAAAATAATTTTTCAATTTTATGAATGAATAATTTTTTTTATTGTGTTAACAAAACAAAATAGGCATTCAATTTGTAATTTTGCGTTATTTCCTATTAACGCATGCAAATTTTCAATGCAAATCTTTTCGATACAGATTATCAAACTTAAAGATATTAGTTTGTCGAATAAACAAAGCAAAGAGAAAAAATTTTAGTGTTAACAAATTTTTATGTCATAATTTTGAAACACGAGCGTAGACCGTTACTATGCACTCGGTAATGCTTTGGTTTACAAATGTATAAATAGCGGTTCTTATTTCCTTTCAATGTCATGCCGTCTGGCTGATAAAATGTTTTCGGATTTTTTAGTGAATCTTAATTAGCACATCTAAAAACTAAGCTGATATCAATATATAATATGTAAGTCGCAGGCAGGTGGATTCCGATTCCGACGAAGAAATGCTACCTTTTTTTACTTTTTACCCATACATATACATATATTTAACTGAACACACAATTAATTCGATCATAGATCAATTACTACAACATTTTACTTAAAACCCACAATAAACATTTGACACAAACAAGATTTAATTGGAATCAATTAAAATCTTGCTGTAATCAAATTTTCTTCAGGTATTCAAGGATTTCATCGCTATAAGTTAACTTAGGTACTGAAATCATTTAAATACTTGTATTATATTGCGAGCATCGTACACCTCACCATCATTAAAAACTAATATAATATTTTGTATTTAAAAAACATGTGTGCCTGACGGATTGATTCTTTGTTCAATTCTGTCTTCAATTGTTAATTAAGTTGTCTAAAAGTAACTCTGGGGATATACATACATAAACCGTTTAAACAATGATCATTGCAGATAATACTATGAAATTACAAAATTAATCAAAGTATTATGCAACACAACGTCGTGTGACTCATAAATTCGTATATGATAAAACATTATTACGATCATATTTAAATATACCTAATTTGCTATTAATTCCTACATTTGCATAAATTCGTAGTAATTTTAGCCAAAAGTGCACAATATAAAATTTTCCAAATCAGGTAGATTAGCTTATCGATTATCACGTGTTTCCAAGCAACACAAACATTAAAACAATTTCGCTTAACAACTCGTATTTCACATTAGGGTTGTATAATATATTAAACAGCATTAATCCTTTGAAGAAATGCAAATCCCGACGTTTGTCATTTTCTTGCTTTAGTTAGCTCTAAGATATTAATACTACCAAATTATAATAAGTTAATATTTAATACGTATGTGGAAAAAATCCCCAAAAAGGATTTATATATAAATGTATTAAAGGATAGATATTTATGTACACATGTACATTTTAACTTCCGTCCCTGGGTGGGCACATGATTTTTTCTTGAGCAACACCCTAATACATATGTGCATGTGGATTCATTGAAAAAAATGTTAAGGTAAAGGTTGAATGAAAATGTCAGTTATAACATATTCATAAGCGTTTTTTTCGTTCAAACTGCTTTCCGTCAATATGTCAAGTGTTGTGAAAAACATTTTAGATGTTGATAAGGAACAAGAATTACTTCAAAGTTTTATAAGAATCGGAATAACTGCAGATGAAGAGTCAATAGATGAATCCACACGCAAACGTACAAGACATTATTTTAATAAGAGAGGCTCGTCTAACGCTATTCCAGGTGTCCGAAATGTAATTTGTAATCGTAAAACAGTAAAATTTGCTGACGATGTAGAAAAAAGTGGAATTGGGGGTCGTGGAAACCGTATTGAGGCAGAGTTGCGTGCAGCGCGTAGAAAAACCGAGGATCAAGTATTAAAAAAGAAGCCAAAAGAAAATTTTGTAGACTTCTACACTGATAAAGATAGAGCAGCAGCTGTAAGCGCCGGTACTTATGACATTAAACAAAGCCTGCAAATAAAACATAAACAGGATCGTAATGAAATTATGCAAATACCGGATGAGGCAGACATTAACTCCATTATAGCATTGGGGTTGAAAGAAATTAAAAATGCCAATCCAGAAAACGCGGTATATTTCTTTTCACAGGTTCGAACAATTGAACTACTCATACAATTGATTATGCAATTATATTAACAATCTATATTAATTATATTATCTATCTTTAATTTACATTTTCAGGCCCTCGAACTAAATGGCACTGACATAAATGCATTGGTTTCTCGAAGTAAATGTTACCTTTTGCTAGGGGAGCCATCAAAAGCATTACAGGATGCGGAAACTGCACTCACTGAAGACAAAAATAATATTCGAGCCATCTTCCAAAAAGCAGAATCACTTTATTTTCTTGGTCAATTCGAACAGAGTCTAATGTTCTTCCACCAAGGGTTGCGCTCTCGTCCCGAATTATCTTCCTTTCGATTGGGTGTTCAAAAAACTCAAGAAGCCATTGAGAATACTATAGGAACTAGTAAATGTTCATCGCTCAATATTGCACTCAATTCTTCCAATAACAAATTTTCTAGTAAATATAAGAGCAATAAACAATCTCAAACAAATTCACAACATTCGAATCGCTCAAAACTATCCAGAACCGAAATTGAACGACATAACGCTCGCAAATTGTTAGGTGAATTATGCGTTGATAAGGAGTATTTAGAAAAACTGTTGAAACATCCCGATTTAGTTCGAGCCGATACAAACTCGGAAAATATTTCCAATCATGCAAATGAAGCTGTTAAATTTCTAAAAAAACGGCAAGAATTTTGGCGACAACAACGTCCTTGTACATCACTTCCAAGTTACAAAAGCCTACCCCAAGAACCTCTACCAGACTGGTTTTAGAACAAATTTATATAAGTGAATTACTAGCAACATTACCTATGTATATATTTGGGTTAGCTCAACATAATCAAACTAAAATAAATTCTAATTGTAGTATATTAATTTATTATAGTTTTATTAATATTTATATGTGTTTTTACAATGTAACATTTATAGGTATTGTAATTAACTTTTTCGAATGTGCATGGGCTTTCGCCTATAAATTTCAACCAAAAACAAGCAATGATTTTAGATGTCATTACAATGCACAAATATCATGCTAAATTAAGCCTCAGGATTGTTCACACACTTAGATCTATATGTTATAAATAGTGGATTTTACTAGTAGCAACAATAACTTCCTGACTTGCATATTTGCCATACATTGTTAATATTTATTTATACTATAAAATACTTTCAACAATATTAACATAAACGCATTTGTATTATGTTATTTAACTTTGTTACTTGGTTTAACTTAATTGAATACAATTTTATTTTATTTAACAATTAAGCAAACTTAGTATAAATATATCTAAATTTGTTTCATTAAATAGCATTTTTAATTATTAATACCTTTTTAAAAAGTGTTATTGAGCTTCTTTGACTAGTTTTAGCTTAATGGCTAAATGCTAAATTTTTGGATAGGAAATATCATACTTTTTTAAAGGTTTAGCCGGTAAATTAACCTTTATTACGGAATGTCAGCTTTTATATACCAGTCTATTTCTAATAAAGATAAACTATGATAATAAAAAACTAATAAAATTCAAAACTTAGATATAAATATCATAATATTTATGGTTTTACACTCAATTTAGAAACTCCAGCAGCACCACTTGAAAATAATAATTTGTCGGTTTAAACACATTATACATACATAGTTACCTAAAAGTTTTACTAATGTAATAGGAAAATAAATACGTATTAATAATTTTTTAATTTTTTCTTTATATTTTTATTTATTTGGCATAAAAGTATTCTTCCTTTTCGAATTTTTTCATTGTGAAGAGATTCGTAAAATAGCACTGCCAGGTTCTCATAGAAGTTGAAGATATAACACTTTTCTTAGTTTGTATGCTATTGAAGTAAATCCATTAATGACCCAAAGCTAGTATTTAGGCATTAACTACATTTTCGCAACAATTATTACAATAACACAGGAAAGAAGTACAAACGCGCGGTGTTGAAATGAGTACCTGACAAATATATAAATAGTAATTACTTATCTCTGGCAGATAAATGTTTTAATTTCTGTTTTTAAAAATGTATGTAAATGTTAAAATGCAAGTTAGTATACATAGGCTAAGAACAATTGTTTCCTAAGTTAATTAACCAATGACAGAAATTTACTTAAATAAAAAAGAAATACACAGAATCAATAACACAACAATATACAGTTAGCCAGAAAAAAAAATTAACTACATTTAATTAATTTCAAGTTCCAAACTAGGTTGTCGAAATATTTAAAAAGTTAAGAACTTTAAAATTTATCGACCTCTTCTCTATGTAGTTGACGTTTGTAGCGCTTCAAAATAAATCAATAAAACACCGTAGTGCTATTAACAATTAAAGAATGTTGAAATATTTCGATTTATCAGCAAAAAATTAGCATACAAATGTTGTATGTGAATTAAACATTCGTACGTCATGCGCAATATTCTAGCTTAATGTTATTGACCTAACGGTATAAAACCACTCAAAAAGAGTGGCGAAAATCATGTTTCATCGATTTTTAGCCTACAGCTATTCAAATCTCATAGAAAAGCATACGCACTTAATGATACTTCACATTTTGAGTGATACAGTATGAAATTAGCCAGCACCAGCTCGCAAATTATTATATTTGTTACACGGGAGCTAGTACTATTTAATCACATATGGACTTCTTTGACCATCAAAGCACATTATGTTAAGTTTTGCATTATTCTTCTCCAATAACTAATATCTGTGGTATAATTATGTTGAGTATATAGCATTATGAAATACAGACTGATTCATCAATTTCAGGTAGGAAAAGATCTGTGTATGTACACTTAGTGTCATGAAGAGATCTTATATTATTATAACAATAAAAAACATAAGTAAAGTTAGTAACTCTTACTCTTAAAAGGGCGAACATAAAAAGATGTTTACATATAATCTTATGAAGAATATAAAACAACAACGAAACAATGCGATAACTACAGCTGCGTTCAGATTACACATCAACAAATTTGTGCAAACCCAGCAAAGTAGAAGTTTTTAGTACTTACTTTAATTGTTATTGCCTGGTCGAGTAGGAAGTGGTGGTGCATTTCCACTGCGATTGGGTATAGGTGGAGGTCCGCGCCGCGCCGGCAAAGGTGGTGGGGGACCTATTGGTGTCGGATGTGTTACTACTACTTGTCTGCGAGGACTTTCAACAGAAGCAATGGGAGCAATTTCTTGGTTTGTAGTTGATGGAAATGGAGGTGGTGGATGTCTAGGCGCTGGAATTTCTTCTTGTATTTCTTCATATATGTTAGCACTACCATCGTAAAAAGTTGAAGTACCTTCTTGTTTCGGTTGACGTATTGGTGTGGATACTGGTGTAGAATTTTTGCTTTGCCTTGGAGGAGTGGGCGGGAATTGTCCATCAGTCAACTCAACTGGCGAAACTACAGATGACGAATGTAATGGAGAACATTGTTGAGTTTCAGTAGGTGACTGTGATTTAGAAGACGAAATACTTTCATTGCTAGCTGTTTTAGTGTTCTTTTGATTGATTTGAGACAAAATTGGTAGGGGCTGTAAGGGTTGTGTCATTAAGGGTTTGGAGAGTTTAGATTGCAGCATATCAGGGACGACACTAATAACTCCAACGTGTGGTTGATGACGAGGCGAACTTTTAGGTGACAGTGGCATAGGTGGGCGAGCTGGTGCTGGTCGCCCAGGAGGCTGTTTGGGACGCCTCGGAATGTCAGGTGAACTACTGAATAACTGTGCTTGTTCTTGCGGATTCGAACATAGGGGTATAGTGTTTGTTGTGCACAACTCAATTTCATTGTCAACTAATGGTTGCCAATTTGCAGTCTTTAGTTGAAGTTGTAGCTCCAAACCACAAATGCGAATATTTTTTTTATTGCTCGCATGTAATGCTGATTCACCATCTCGAAATGTTACCCACATTGTGTCCTCTACATATCGAACCAAAGTGACTTCGCCTAACTTCGACAATTCCTGAATAAGCGTAGACATGACTGCTTCATCATAGATAGTCGGCCCGTCGTCATAAACGCCATCCTCTTTGACGTGCACAACAATGGTAGAATCAGGTGGACCCAAGTCTCTTATGACCTGTTCAAAAACCTGAAATCATCAAAGGATAAAACAAAAATGTATGCAACTAAAAAAAATGTATTTATGTTTCACCAAACCTCTCGTCGACGCTGTGAATCAATTTCCACAATTTCTGCATCAATAATAGCAATAACTGGGCGGTGGTCACTTTGCTTCAACTCTGAACGACCATAATGAATAAGTCTACCTGGATTCCATTCAACACTATTGACATCTGTTTCTGCTGCCAAAGCTTTGCGTCGACGCCATAATACACGATCAGTCCAAGCAGGTGCACGTTGTTTTTCTGACGTATCATATTCATCACTAAACAAATCATATTTATACGTAGGATCGAAACTAATTTCTCCTTCGAGAAAATCGCTGAAAACATTGCCTGCTTCTTGCTCCTTACGCAGCTGATCATTCAGCAGTACAGATGTGAGATCTTCGTTCTGTATAGCTTCTTTCAAATCATCCTTTTCCATGTCGATTCTATAATTAAAATCACCACACCAAAACACCCAATCATGCGACTTGAGAGTACGTCCCATTGGAAACGCCAACTTTCTTGTTATTTCAGCATAATCAGCGTTACGCTCAGCAACCTATAATTAATTAAAAAATTTATAGATTAAAATATATACACTGAAAACTCTATATAACGAAAATTTAGTCATAACGAGAAAATACCAAAGTTTGTTTGGTTTACAATATTATTCCTACATTTTAGCACACAAACCATGATTATTTCTAGCAAATATTATCAATCAAGTATTTTAGTTACCAAAGCAAATATATTATATATTACTATATAAAAGATATAAAGGCGAATAAGTGATTAAAATTTTTTTATTCAATGAAGATGACAGATTAACAGATAAGATATAAGATTACGACGTTTTAAAATAGAACATAAAGGGCGGGCATTTAGAATATTATTATGTCTATATTGTGTCAGATCACTTTGTATATTATTGTCTACATTTGCGTATAGTATAAATTTAATAAAACTCATCACGTCTTGTGAAATAAATAAGAATTGAAGTACTTATTCCTCGCTAACTTCGAGTATAACTGAACATTTTATACTCTCGTAATTTGCTGAAATCAAAACGGGAGATATATTTTTAGTGGTTAGCACAACTTAATATCAAAAAATTTTCCGTAAGAATTTAACATGTAAATGTAACAAAACAATGCCAAAATAATGTACCAAATTTGGTACAAAATTGGTTGAGTAATTTCCGAGATATAGTATTTCTCCTAAATGTGTGCGGCGCAATGCCCGGGACCCTTTAAAACCCTTTCGTAAAATCTCGGGTGTAAAATTTAAGATTATTTTAAGGTTTTGTAAGACCGAGATAGCTGAGACTATAAAGATGAAAAAATCTCTGTAAAATGAGTGCTGCGAGAGCACACAATCGAATACAACCTACAATGAACTGATCGAATCTAAGTAGCGTTGGAAACGTAATAAAGCTAATTTTTATCGTTGGCACGTGAAATGGATTAAACTTGGGTCCATTATTTCACTGCAAGTTCAAACCAGTTATTCACTCACTATCTTGAAGAAGTAAAATCCAACTACTACCTCTCGACTATTATTTATTACTAGAATATTGCAGTAACGTAATAACGTAGAAACGATTTCATTAGAAAAAGAAGTTCATGTTTCATCAAAACAATACACAGGGCAACATAAAAGGAATTCAATAACAAATTGCAAGAATTAGGCCTATATTTGTTTTCGCATACACTTATTCTCCGAAACTGAGCATCAGTGATTATTTGCTGTTCCCAGACATGAAGAGAATAGCGCTGTGGTAGCTAATAAAATCGAATTTTTCATTATAACATGTTTTCCTTTAAGCCGATATGAATTTTACAGTCATACATGCCTAATATAAATACATTTATATATAGCTATGTACATATGTATATAAACTATTTCTAACAGCTACAACTGCGTCAAACTTTCGCAAAAAAGTCATTCAAACTTATTTAAATGAATAGTAACTTTTGAGTTATACCATTATAACTTTTATCAAAACCGTTAACTAAATATCAATATAAAGAACTATCTAAATATCTATTATCTATTACCTGTGATTGACCAGCAGCAAAATGAGCACAGACGAAGCACATCGAACTTCCATGTAAAACAAAACGTATCGCACATGCTCCCTTATTTCCAGTGGTGCCCCCTAGTCCCGTTTTAACACAATCAATTGCAACATCACGAATAAATGGCGCATGCTCCGGTCGAACATATATATATAAACACACACCTACTAGTTGTTGATATGTGAGAAGCACATAATCATTATCTCGAGAAATAGTCTTTTGCAATTCCTCTGCCCACAATTTGGCATTATCTGTGCTGGCAGCAACAATGTTAGAGGCATTCAAGTCAACGATCTCTTGAAAACCAATCGCATATATATCAACCGGATCGCAGGCGTTCTCCGATGGATTATTCACGTTGACTAGAGCCTTAGCTCGTGCCAATGCATGGCAATCAAGTAACCAATCAGACAATGAGTCCTTAAAAACAATGCTTCTAAAATGTTTACCACCATTTACATTGTAGGTACCAACTGCGACGCGACAGGTACGGGGAGCTACATACTCAGCAAAGCGTTTACACATTTCCCTTAAAACTGTAGTTGGCGCATGCAGCATATTCGATGGCAATAATATTCGAGCTCTATCAGCTAATTCTGACGATAGTGTTGATCCGAGTAATAAAATATCAATTGCTTCCTGTTTTGAATTATCTAACAAATTATTCTGTATTGTACGAGCAGCTGATCGCGCCCCATCCATTAGTTTGGAGCCACCTTGTATAGCTCCAGTACCTGCATAGATTTTACTAACTTCATTGCCATTGTTTACCCACATTTGCCGAAATATTTCTTCAAATCTGGAGAAATTTTGTTTTTTCTCCCCCAATTTTAAAGCTTCAATTTGTTGACTAAGCATGTCTAAGCCCAAGAACGTTTGCACGCAATTGGTGCGGTCCAAACAATCGAGGCAATTAGTGCGAATAACACCAAATTGTTCACGTAATGCTTGCCCTTGGGAAGCATGGAAAAATCCATAGTTTACACCACAAACTCCCAAACGCTCTTTCAGTTTCAAAAGCGCACCAAAATTACCACCTCGGCACTCTTGATGATAATCAAATATAATATGTGAAACGTCTTTGTGGGTTGACATATTATGGTGTTTTTGGAATTCATTGCTTAACATTGCCTCACCTTCCTTACTACCAATCATCGATGTGCCCAAAAGGTTTATAATCGCCTGATACCCGTAACGTTGCTTCATCATCACCATATGTCGATCAAATGCTGCCGCAGAAGCCTCAAAGCCTCGTGATAATTTCACTTTGTGTGAGCCAACTTGTACACCCGGTTGTTCCCAAAAAAGAGGAACAGATCCACGTGTTTGAATATAACTAGTCACATCACTATCCACATATATAACCTGCTCGGTCTCAACAAAGTTAGCAACATGCCCCTCATCGTTGGTGCCTTAAGAAGAGGTATAAAAATGAAATTAGTTATATAAAAATAGCAAATATAACAGAACTTATACATTTTCAAAAATTTTTTGTTCGAAAAAAATACATTAAATTTTAATGTTGGAGAAAATATTTTTAAAATATCTGAAATCTAAAAAAAATTAAGTAAATCAAATATATAGTCAGTAAAAGCCCTCAATTATATTCTGCATAAAAACATTTATTACATACCTCGAACGTTAAATCGAGTGCCGGCACGCTCGCAACTTAACCGAGATATGATAGCGGCGCGAGCCTGTTTAGCTCCAACATACACTGTGCGAACTTCCACAGAACCACACATTGCCTTCAGAAGCCATGATTGACAATCTACACCGAAACGGAGCAAATGTATGTGCATCATTCGATTCCAAAAGAAACGATTGTCAGTCTCAGATATTTTTTGTCTCCGTTGAGCACATAATGTTATATCAAACTTTTGTAAACTACTGATCATCGAAAGATTCGAATGTGCAAAGTAAAAAGTTCCCGAGTTCAACAGCTTGCGGCACTCTGATATTTTGTCTTCATTCGGAGCTGCATTTTGCAAAGCCACGAATTGTGTCTGCGTAATTCGAAAAACTTCAACATCACAGATTTTTCCCATTGAAACACAGCCAGTGACAAGCACTAGAAACAAAACAGTACTTTCTCCAGCATTTAGTTGCAGAACACCAAGGCAACCGTAAGCATCACATAATTTTGTATACTGCTTTCGTATTACATCAGTTTCCTGAGTGGAGAGCAAAGCAACCGCATGAGATTCAAAAAGAATGCTATCACTTTTATTTCGATGCTCTAAAAGAACGCTGTAGGGTGATGGTGGAATAGACTTTTCCAGTACCCGCATGACCTTTGACATTGCCATTTTTAATAAGACTTTAGATGGGTATATATATCCTGTTCGGCCAATTTTTTATTTTTTCCGGTGGTAAGATATCTGAAATAAATATAAAAAAAATTTTATATAAAATAAACTACAAACAAACCTGGGCACAACAATTCAATATTTGGAAGTATTCGCAAGTTCATTTATACTAAATTGAATGTACGTACTGCCATTTCTAAAAAAAATCAACGTATTGATATAGGTTTTGTTAGATAAATAAATTGAATAGAGATATGCACCGCGACCTATGGTCTATTATTCCCTCCCCTAAGTCACAACGACTCACCTAGCCCCAGCACATTGATGAACTCCAATATACTGCTAGGTGCTAGTGAGGCGATGTGAGCCCTATTAGGAAACATGGATCCAAGGGCCTTAATTCTCCATCTGCAAACTGCTACGCAGTCTACTAGCAGGTGTTTTGGGGTTTCCGGCTCTGTGTCGCAGAAGTGGCAAGTGTACAAGACGAAAATCTCATGTTGTAATGATGCTTCTTAAGCCTACAATTGTCAGTGTAGCCGAAACTTGTTTCTTGGGAGATTGATTACATTTTTAAACCTTCTGAAGTCGTAACTCCTCATTAGCAACCTAGCATGGTGCATGCCAATGTCTCTCCCAATGTTTTGTTAGGCAACTCTCATATTTTTAAACTTTGAGAAGCAGCAGTCGCCATTTTTATTACTCATTTCTTTTATTTTTCAATTGAATCGAAATATGTTTTTGAAATATCTATTTGAGTGTAGTTTACCGAATATTAAATTTCAGAGAATAATGGAAAGCAAATCGTTCGTCCTACGTGCCCTATGATCTATTCTTGGTTTCGATGTTGAAGTATGAACTGTCAAGCAAAGCGAGGAAAGTTTAGCATCGTTTGACTCGCTTATTCAGTATCAACTGAATTGTACTTTTTGTAGTTGTGTCGCTATTGCTGAAATAAATCGTATTCTACAACGTTGTGTCCATTTATCTGAAAAAAGTGAGTTTAATCGTCTGTATTATTAAAATTGTGATTATCACACTGTTATTCGACTAAAACTAAACTATAAAATCAATACTTGAGTAAGACGCTCTTTATAGAAGATAATCTACATTCTGAACGACGATCTATAAACTTTTAACAATTTTTACAGGAACTGTTTTTTTGCTCCACCTGAACATTTTTCATTTTTCTAGTTCTCTTTTGTATTTTGTGTGCGATATATAAATAAGTCTCTTTATTAAAGCTAAAGGTTAAAGTAAATTTAAAATACAAAACTGTAACTTGAAACAGGACATCGCCGGTTCGTGTTCATATTTTACAAACAACTGAAAACAAGACTTCCAGCGCTTCCTCTTATAGTATGAAAATTTATAAAGTTATGGTTATGTTGAAAACTATTAAAAAAGCAATAACTTATTAAAGAACTACGTCAGAAACATACAATTTTTCAGTAAAAATGGCACGGAAAAGCTTCATATTGATCGGTTAAAAATGAGCAATGGGCGTGTCACCGTGCACTTTGAAAAAATTGTGCCTTCGAAGTGTGCAATCTCAAGTTCGAATTCGGAAGGAAACATTTCACTTTTTACCGAAAATATCGATCACTTCGTGGTATATATAAATGAAATTCGAAGAGACTCTTTCTCGATAATGCACCGTTGTGTCAAAAATGACTAATATCGGGTCAATAATTCTCCAGTCCCCATTTATCTAATATAAAATTTTCGAACTTCCTGTTGATTTCATAATGTCTATATATATCGGTCAATATAAAGAAATTCAGGAAACCTCTTTTTCTGATAGCCACGTGTCCTTGTGTGGACAAAAATGGAGTCAATATATCCTCTAGCTTCCTTATAAAATATATATAAAAGGATTTTCCAACTTTCCATCGTTTATATATATATATATAAGGATTTTCCAACCATCGTTTATATATATATAGATAAATATATATAAAGGGATTTTCCAACTTTCCATCGTATATATCGGTCAATAAGTAAGCTATCTTAATAAAATTAAGCGAACGTATATTGGAAATATTATAGTTTAATGTCAAAAATGGGTGAAATATGTAGGTCCCAGAATGACCCCAACTCCCATTTACTGTACGTATATCGTCATCTGAAATACAAAATAACGTATATTATATATTATTATTACTTTTCACAAGTTTACAGGGAGAAGGAAAAACAATATATGTAAATCAGGAACTACCTACTCATGTTGAAACGAAATTAGAATTTTGGCCATAAATTGGTTATATCTGACAGCAGAAGACATATGTACATAAATAATACGATGTAACGAATCGTAACAAATAAAAAAAATCAATTTCGAATTTTTTGGTGATATGTTGTTCAGCATCTTCGTTATTCTAGCAGACTTTATGCCGAATATATCACCCAATCTATGAATTATCTTAATAAAAATGCGGGAAAATATTGCCTATTTACATATGTAAGTATGTTAAGTGATAATTTTCTACATATATAAGTGCAATGTGTAGATAGATAAGTATGTACATAACTACCTATCACATCTGAAAAATCTTATTAAATAATTTAAAAAAATCAATTAATTTAAAAGGATTGTTTTTGTAGCAGCAGAGAATATCTGAAAAATATTGTTATGTGACATGCTAACAAATTGACAGTTTCATAGTCCCGACTGTTGTAAAAACATAATTTGAATGCAATCTTAAAACTTCCAAACGTCAAACTCGTAAATACATTTTATAGAAACTCTCTCGTTATGTCTTTTATGCAGGGTCTTCTACAGTACCTTGCTTTCTCCCCTCTTAAAATATATAATTGTAAGTACTGCATATAACTTAATATTATTCGGATTTATATATACATTATATATTTATATATGTACCTACTAGCTAACTTTCCACAATAAAGAAATCGGCTAATTTACAGAACGATTCACTACATCCGGCCATAGAATTCTCTGAATTTAAGTGTGAGACATTGCTAATTTCTTCTAACGGTAGTAATTTGTAATATAAGTAAATACACACATACATGCACTCATATACTCATATTATTCGCCAAAATTATAAAACACATATATATATATATATATATATATATTCTGTGATCAGCACTATAGGTTTTTTGTACATGTGAATCCCTTGATATTTTGGAGGCCATATAATTTACAATATATCTTTTATAAATACCATATTACTAAATAATATCCGCCCTCCGAAACTCCAGCCTACAAAACGCCAATATGTTATAGATTTTTCACAAAACTCCAACGCTTACTTTTCCGTGCAAATCTTATTTTTCTTGTTTAATCAAATTATTATTACATTTTATGAACATAACGACCAATTCAATAAAATCGAGTATAATAGCACAAGTATTTCGGAACAGAAATTGTACAAATTCACAGAACTAAAAGAAATTGTGAAGTTTTGCAAATTTGACGATTGGTTTGCATCGTGGTGTAATAGTAGTACAATCGTGGTGAATTCTTATTTACATATGTTCATTGGAAATATATACATACATTCATTTCAATATTATTTTACGTGTTGGCTAATGAATATATTTTGGAACCATCATTAGCAAATGATATGAGGAATAAGTGGCAAAAAAGTTGGGCAGACTGTCAACTAACAGAAAGTATGCAATTTGTTAAGAAGGCCCGCGGTATTCTTTGTTTAAAAAGTTTTTTTATCAGTTTAGCCTTAAAAAATAAATTTTTCCAAGTTTTTTAATACGGCATTATAAGTTGTTGCTCACCATATGTTTATTGTTTACATATAGTGGAAGCCAGATGTTCTATTGATATCAAATAAAATCTGTCAAAAAACTATAAATATCATAAAAGAATTGTTGCGATTTAAATCAACATTTAAGGTTAGTTTAAAAAAGTATAGTGTTTACGTTTTATAAAACTTTTGTATCTTTTATATTTTTAGTCGAATATTATACTATATCAAAAGTAAAATTCAGTCCCCGTGTATCTTTCAAATCAAAAAATTCGATACCGTGGAGTATGTCCAGTTCTAGTTTCAAAGCGCCTTCGACAGAATTTGATGCCAAATATGGTATTTTAAATTTAAATACCCCTCCACGCTCACCAATGTGCGGCCGCTATAAACAGTAAATCAATCACTTAACTCTTAACTGAAAATTAAATACATATACATACAAAGGTGTAAATAAAAATATGATTTGCAGGAGTTTCGCTTATTATACTTTGCGCTCTCGACTACCAGTAACACTTACAAGTATAATTGACAGTATAACAAAAGATAAGGATGAGCTGATATCAAAGTACGGTGAGGTTAGTGAGTATGTAGAAGCATTAAAAAAAAGTCATTCCTAGAAGTTTTGATAAACTATTTATCGAACATGTGAACGAATTGTTGAAAAGTATTCATTTGAAATATATGTTTATTTATGTATAATCAATTAAAGAAACATTTATAGGAATCGCGGGAAGAAATTAAAAATATTATTGGTTCCATATCAAAATTGAAATATCAACTTCAAACTGATAAAGCTCTTGAACCTTTTGTGGGTAATGGTACGTAAGGATTTAAACATCAAAAAGATTTAAATAATTTCATGTATGTTATTGCTCTATTCAGAACCTGATAAAGAAAGTTGGAACAACTTTATAAGAAATATGGGCGAAGAAAATAATAGTTTTTTCAAAGCTTGCTGGCTTTACGCTGAGTGTTATATGTATCGTCGATTATCTTCATTTTTCGAAAACTCTCAAACTTTAACCAGTTTTGACTATTTTGCTAAGCAAAAACAAAATGCTCTCATTAATTCAATTGGCTGTATTCAGGAAATTCTGACTGTTCTTCAAGGTATTAATGTCACTTATGACTCATTTCGACTGATGCTTAAGGTAATTTTTTACTTTATTAATGACCAAAAACTAATATTTACTTATAAAACAGCTTAATTTGTGGGGCAATCGCTGTGATCTATCCATTACATCCGGTAAGCAGGTCCAACTTGGTAACAACCCTTTTAATCTTATACGAAGCTTTGACAATAAAATCCTCATCGATAACTCGGAGTCAGTTTTTGAAAGTCTAAAATCGGAAATTAGCAATAAACCAGCTATTGTGGAATTCGTATGTGACAATGCTGGATATGAACTTTTCACTGATTTTGTCCTTGCTGATTATTTGATAAAAAGCAAATTAGTGGAAAAAATTCGTTTTAATTTGAAGCCCATTCCTTGGTTCGTTTCCGATGCTACAATAAACGATTTAAATTGGATATTGCACTATCTTCAAAATCATTCTATACCTATTTTAAAAGAATACGGTAAAAGATGGCAAGATTTTCTGAATGATAAAATATTTGAAATAGCACCATTGGATTATTTTTGGACAAGCCCTTATGAATACTATAGGTATTAATGCGAAGACATGCTTAGTTACATATAAGTTTGCATAGATCACTAATAAAAGCTGAACACTTTACTATTTTAGAATGTGCAAAATTAACCCTGAATTGTATGAGAAATTATCGGAATCCCGCCTGGTTATTTTTAAGGGAGATCTTAACTACAGAAAACTAATTGGAGATTTTTCATGGAGCTGTACTGAACAATTTATAACATGTTTAAGAGGTAAATTAATGTTAAGAAACTTTTATTGACAACCACTCAATTGTTATTTGTCATATAGGCTTTCTGCCAACGGATTTTGTAAGCTTAAGAACCGTAAAAGCTGATTTAATTTGTGGCCTATTAGAGGGACAAGCAGAAAAGGTATTTGAAATTGATCAGAACTGGATGACGACTGGAGAGTATGGCACTATACAATTTATAAATAAACCGACCATATATGACAAAGAAACCATAACAAATTCTTTAAGTGTGCAATAATTCCCAGATTTAAGAATATCGACCACTTAAACATTTAAGAATCTCCAGGCTATTATTTCACTACAACATAAATAATGAATTAAACTATCTATTTATTCTAAAATTACAATTCACTCAAAAATGCATTGAGATAAAAAAAAAATTAATAATAAAATTATTTGTTACAGTTACAATTTACTCTGCCAAATTTCGTTTCATTTTTTTAGTTTTTTATTACTTTGAAGTAAAAAACTTCTCCTTTTATAGAGTTAGGCAAAAATAAATATTCCAATTTCTAATACAGCTATATGAAAAATGGCATCTGATTCTCCTGACTCATTTGGTTTTTTCTATTTTTCATCATTAGTCAAGAATTTTATATTGAGTTTGGAGAAAAATTTTAATAGTTTGGTTAATAAGAACAGCTGACAGTTATTCCTTCCAGGTTTAGATGCAAAAAACTTTAAAAGTGTTCAGTACTATCAGCTGTTTTCGTTTGAGTACAATCTTACCATACTAAAATTAAAAAAAGTACGGTGGGTATATTTCACCATACTATTAACTATAAGATATAATAAAGTTATATTAACTCAGTATACAAATTTAATTAATATATAAATAAATTCGAAATATTTTTATTAATGTGGGGAGAAAAAATTAAAGCAAATGCATTATTATAACATTTTATTTATGTCCAATGAAGCATTCAATGAGACCTGCATATAAGTGTGCATGTATGTACTTAAGTATATGCATATGGCATGTTTCGAAACATTGATCTCTTACATCTCTAATTTTCCGTAATGGAAAGGGGCACCTTGAGATAGAGGAAATATACTGCGTCATTTTATGAATTGATCGTGTTAACTGAAAGTTTTCATCTACATTACAATTTCATAAAAACAGGATAATGGCAAGTGAAGTTTTGTGTAAACCGGACCCGTTATACATCATGGATATTAAAACTCCACGGCACAATTTTCTTTCGGCTCGATATAAACAGTATGACAGTTTAGTATGACTAAATATAAAATTACAAATATTAATACTCATTTATTAAAACAGGAGTTTTGCCTATAAAACAATGAAAATCCGATTGCCGCAAATATTGCAAAATACTATTGAAGGCATAACAAAGAACTCCGATAATATAACCGCTGAGTTTGGAGAGGTTGGTATTCGAGATTTCGTAAAAAATATCATAAATGAAATACTAATTGAGTAATTTACATTATTTTGCAACTTTTACCACAGAATTTAGAAAAAAGTCGAGTAAATGGAAATATGAACCCGAAAAAATTTAATTCAAACGTGTTAAAAAGTAATTATAATGCTATTAATAGGCTAGTATATATTTTTTCTGTTTATCTAAATAACTCAAATTAATTTTATGAATTCGCATTTTAAGAAATTAATCTTTTACACAACTGCATACACTGGTATGTTTGTATTTTAAAGTAAATGTCATAGTGCTGGCATACATCGGTATATATGATGAGATTAAATCTAAAATCTGTAGAGTATTTAAATTTATATTGATTTTAAAAATCTTTTTTTCATTTTCAGGTAATTCGAAAGGATATCCTAACTATTGTAGACAAGATTTTACAGTTAAAATATGAACTGGAAAACGATCATGTCATGGAAACATTTGAGGGAATCGGTAAAATCATATGGTATATATATCATTTAGTGCTAAGATTTTGATATTTATCAATTTATTAATAGAAGGGGACAAGATGCTTTGGAATAGTTTTCTGAAAGACCTGGATAATGACTCAAACACATTTTTAAAAGCATGTTGGCTGTATTCTGAATGTTATATATACAGACGTTTGTATTACTTTTTTGAAAATCATAGAGTGCTTAAAGCATACGATTATTTTTCGCAAAACAAGCAAAATGCCTTTATAATTAGCGTAGAACCAATGCTTGACATTCTTCATGGTCTTGAAAGCATGAAAGCCAACATATCCGATGATAATTTAAAAATTTTATTGAAGGTCTAACACATTGCTAATATTAATATTAATTAATAGTCAGTTTTTAATTTATTTCATAACATTTTAGCTCAATTTATGGGGAAACCGATGTGACTTGTCCATATCCACCGGTAAAGAAGTAAAACTTAATGGAAATCCATTCGAACATGTTAAAAACTTAGATAAAAGAGTAATTATTGATGAAAGCTCTCAAGTTATTGAAATCTTGAAATCAGCAGACCGGCGATATGCTATCGTTATTGAATTTATTTGTGATAATGCAGGTTATGAGCTTTTTACTGATTTCATACTCGCCGACTATTTAATCGAAAGTAAATTAGCTGACAAAGTTCGATTCAACTTGAAAGCTATACCTTGGTTTATATCAGATGCAACTGTCAACGACTTTCGTTGGAGTTTACAATTTATGAAAGATCATACAACGCCTGTTTTACAAGAGTATGGGAAAAAATGGCAAAAATTTGTTGTAGAAAATAAATTCGAAGTGGCTAATATTAATAAATTCTGGACAAGTCCATATGAATATTATAGGTGAATTTCTTAAATTTCATTGGTGCTAAACGCGTACGTATATTTATTTTGCTTATCCCATTATAGGATGTCTGAAATTGATCCAGATTTATATAAAAGGCTCTCTGTATCACATTTAGTAATTTTCAAAGGCGATCTTAATTACCGAAAACTTATCAGTGACTTCTCCTGGGATTTCACAGAATCATTTGAAAAATGTCTGAGAGGTGCAAATTTAAATATTAAATAAAAAGTAACAACTCTATTAAATTTTTATCAAACAAACAGGCTTTCGGCCGACAAATATTTGCAGTTTACGTACGGTCAAAGCAGATTTGATATGTGGACTTTTTGAAGGGCAATCCGATATTTTAGAAAAGGAAAGTAAAGATTGGATGATAACTGGTGAATATGGGACTATACAATTTGCATCAAAATCAAATATTTAAGTGATACGTAATAAGTAGTGGCATACGCTTTATATTGAGTATAAGAAAAGAAACATATAATAAAATTGTCAAATACTGGATAAATTATATTAAAAATCAATTATATATGGAAATATAAAAAAATTTGTAAATTTTTCTATCCAACACAGCACATAAAAAATTTGTAAGTTAAGTAATTAAACATTCCAAGACGATCGGTTACTCGCAATCGCTCGCACTTCACTAATATGTAATATACAAATAAGCCACGTCCAACCTCTTTTTCTCTTCGTCAGTTTCACATTTTTAAAATAGTATATATCTCGAGTTTGTGCTTGGGTAACGAAATAATCTAAAAACTTCAAAGTTCTACACTGAAATGCAAACAACTTTACTGTTTTACCACAACTTTACTTGTATTTAGGAGACCTTACCACTTATAGCAAAAGTTGTGAAAAATTCGAAAAAGTCAAAATATTACACAAAAGTTTCGCAGCACAACAATTAAAATTACTTACTTTCAAATTTACGTTATTAAACACTCGTCGTTTAAAAGCAATCATGAAAAGCAATAGCCTCATGATTTATTAATAAAATTGAATAATGCAGCAACATAAAAATATTAATTTATAAAAATAAAATAAAAATTACAAAAGAATTTTCACTAAATGGTCAAAAGAATATGTGATGCATTGTTAATTCCAGTTGAATATTCGCGAAAAAAATATTTTATTTTTTAAATTCCAACGATCAATAATTTTCGGCAAATAAATAAACAAACTGAAGCTTCAAAATGTCCAGTGCAAACTACGAATTCGACATTAAATATGGTATATTGAATTCAAGAACCCCAAGGCATTCGCTAATTTCAGCCCGGTACAAGCAGTTAAGCTCGATAAACATTCTTAATAATAATAATAATTACGATGCCAGTAAAGTTTGAATTTTAACTATTTTTAGAAGTTTTGCCTACTTCGTATTGCGCTACAGACTTCCACATAATTTAGCAGAAATAATCCTTACTTTATCAGAAAATTTGGATATTTTAGTGTCACAATACGGCGAGGTACGAAAAGCCATATTTGACAGAACTCAAGTATAATTTTAAAATATTTAGTTTCTGAAAACCTTTATAATTGTAAAACACAGGAATCTCGAGGGGACTTTGGGAAGGTAATATATAGAATAAGTCAACTAAAATACCGATTGCAACATGATGGACCCTTTCATCAGTTTTCCGGAGCTGGTACATATTAAACTTATATTTATAACGTGAAAACATGAATTTATTTGATCAATTTCTAAATATAGAGCCAGATAAAGACTTTTGGAACAACTTTCTGTTAAATCTTGAGGACGGACAAAATACTTTCTTCAGTACATGCTTTCTTTATGCCGAATGTTATGTTTTTCGCCGTTTGATATGCTATTTGGAAAACACCCAAACTTTAAAAACATTCGATTACTACGTTATGAAAAAACATAAATCTCTAATAGCATTTTTATCGACAATAGAAATTATACTGTTTGGAATACGTACCGTGCAGTCTTCTGATGATGTATTACGGTTCCTTTTAAGGGTACGTAACTCTATACATATAAGTATATATGTATGTATATAAAATTATTTTGTAAAATAATTAGAAAATTTCTACTTTCATATAAATAAGTATATATATTGGGAGTTTACATTTTGTTTTAAAATCCTATTGGTTTTAAATAGAACTCGTTCGGTACAATCTAATGCTTGAATTCTGTTAATATAATCGTTATTAATTATCATCTGACGGTTAACAAAACAATTTTGCAGCTTAACCTTTGGGGTAATCAGTGTGATATATCTGCTGACACAGAAAAATACAATGTAAAACGTAAAGGACCATTCGAGCACTTAAGAGCTTATGAGAAGAATATAATAATTGATAGTACGACATCGGTTATCAATTCTTTTAAATTGGCGGATCACACTAAACCCGTACAAGTAGATTTCATTTGCGACAACGCTGGTTACGAGTTGGTTGTTGACTTTATACTGGCTCATTATTTGCTGGAATCGAAACTGGTAGACAAAGTCCGTTTTCACATGAAGGCAGTTCCTTGGTTTGTAACAGATGCAACAATCACAGATTTTCATTGGACTCTTCAACAATTAAAAAAACAAGCTGGACGTTGCACACAGGAATATGCCAGGATATGGCTCCAAAACTTGAATGAGGGTAAATTTGAGGTTGCGGAGGCTGATTATTTTTGGACAAGTCCATATGAATTTTACAGGTACGGTTACATTATATCTTCGAAAATACATATGTATATATACATACATACTTATAAAATTTTTACTTTAGAATGCGCGATGTGCGTCCAGATTTGTACGAACAGCTTACTCAAGCTCATATGATTATTATTAAAGGTGACTGTAACTACAGAAAACTAATAGGGGATTTCCGTTGGGATGCCTCAGAGCCGTTCATAACTTGTTTAAGGGGTAAACAGCACGATAAAAATATTTTGCTTAATTAATATGTTCTCGTTAAAGGTTTTCAGCCAGCTAATATATGTAGTTTACGAATTGTAAAAACTGAAATTATTTGTGGTATGAGTCCAGGAAAAAATGAAGACTTGGTAAAAAAGAACAAAGATTGGATGATTAGTGGTGAATATGGTACAATACAGTTTATAGAAAAAAACTACTGTGGTTGTCCAATTACCACACCAAACTCTATAGAACACAGTATAATGAACTAATATTTGACACTTGGGCAACAATATAATCATATTTTTCAAGAAGTATTTGATCTTGTGTGACCCTAATACATATGCCTAGAAGTCAAGAAAAACAAAATTGTAGCAATGTATAAATAGTTAATAATCTCTAATAAATAAATTCTGCTCCACAACTGCCCACCCGTAATTTGATTTTTTTTAACCATTCTATAAGATAGTAGTATTTGGAAGAATAATATTAATAGCAGAATTTCTATTTCCGTACATACAAGAAAACATATATCACTGCTAATAAACAATTTTCTAATTCTTGAGTGCAGATATCTTCAATTTTTTATTAATCGATTAATCACAATCATGATTTCTTAAAGTGTTAAAACCATTCATAACAAAAGAATTTTCTCATTATATCTTATAGTTCTATACATATGTTCTGATATTCTCGGCTACGTTACTATATGTACTCGTATATAAACAGAACTTTGTATGCATATATGTATATTTGTTATTTAATATTATACATCTGTATATATAATTTATTTGCGATTCTTCTGAATAGTGAAAATCGGCAACAATTAATCAAAAAATTAATAATTAACAAATTGAAAAAAGAATAGCAGTGATGTTTTTTCAATTCATCCAAATAAGTAGGAAAAATACTCGTTTTTATAGATCCACTGGTTATTAGGTAAGTATTTAAATGTGAGGCATTCTACCACCAGATTACTTCTATCATTCCACTTAAATAACTATTCTACAGCAAATCCACAAGTTTCTTCCACAGCCTGCGTCAACTTATCGCAAAGCAACTGGTAAGTTTCATAAGGCGGTAAATCAATGCGATTGAAACAAGTATGTGCCTTTGGCAAGTTTTGAGTGGGCACATCTGTAGTTAGGTGTATAGTAAATAACCGTGGTCCAACCGCTCCAGTTGAACCTTGCAATGCTCGAAAACCTTGCAATGGCACCCTTGAGGAACCAGTTACAAATTGCAAAAGACGTGCACGCATTTCTGAAGAGTAAGATTCCACCACCTCAAAGATAAAAAAATATAGATAAGCATATAGCAAATAATAAATTATGAAGAAAATCATTAACTATTACTTGCCAGAACCATATCACTTGTTGCGTTTCTGGTGTACAGTGTTTCAGTCTTGTATTGACGCGCCAGTCATTAACATCAATGCTAGAAATTCCGCCAATTACTAATTCTAATTCACGCTCATCAAAAGGTCTCAAAAGCTGACCTGGAATAAGTTCACAAAAACCTACCGAATAAAATGGAAATGCCATAAGTACGTACATTGGAATAGTATATAGGTATCTATTAACCTTTCTGTAACGCCAGAAATTGTTGCTCTATACCTCGCATAAATCTGTAATTTACATAAAGTTTTACATATTCGCGCTTATTATCCTCAGTTACTGATATTGAGGCACCTAACGGCTTTAATTCATGAACTACCAATGCGCCAAAACTATTGTTCTCAACACTAAATGTGGAGTCTATAATTCCCGTTATATTATTCTCACTATAATTAGATAACTTGTTAATTTTGGAATTGCATCTATTTGAGTGACTTACAGCATCCAAGTTAGACTACGATGCAACTCTGGATCAACTCCTTCTATATCATTTAAAGTTATCGGTTTATTAAGAAGTTGCTTATAAAAGGGTGTTGTAAAACCACCATCTAAGCAGTGTCCATGAAATACAGCTATTCCTAGAATTCGCCCAACGAAGTGAAAATACGACAAGTGGTCTGGATTAACACCTAAAACATATAAAATAGATGAGAATTTGATAAGAATTTAAAATAAATATTCTGTTATATTAATTTCAATAACTAATCAATGCCAGAAATTTAGATTATAAGTAAAAGGGCATTACTTACCCGAGTCTGGGTTAATTTGCAACGTATAGTGATCATCACGTGAATATTGAAACAATCCATATTGGGGATTAAGCATTTCACGTGATAATAAATGAAGCCACTCACGCGCAACGCCACCGTAATCAAGACCTTCTTCTCCTTTGAATTTTACCATTAAGCGTTTACGCATGTCCTTAGGTCGCATTTTCATAATCAGTCTGTAACTCTCTTCAAATATTTCGTTACGTGACACCTCAAGACGACAGTGACCGGACTGTGGTTGCAGTGTCTGTAAGTCGGTGCGCAGAGCGCGCATTTTACTAACTAAGTCTCGCCTATATTTGGGAAGCAGCTCAGAACCTTCTAAAAGACCTTGCGGCAGGTCTGCAGGTGGTGTACTTGTATTATTAACTATGCGATGGGTTGCACCATTATTACCACTTGTTGAACCGCTATTCCCACTTGACAACGGATGCGAGGCTGCTGGAGAAAGTTGCTGCACGATACTACCATTACCCGTAGAAACCAAATTATTCGCCACGCTGGGGCAATTTCCTGTATTAGATAATGCTCCGCGCCGTATCATTTGGAGAATATTACAATTAAATCGGGGATCAGTAAACTGAGTTGTCCGATTATTGTGATCTACAAAGTACACTCTCCCAGAAGCAGTTTTTCGTTGCTCCCAACCACTTGGAAGAGGACCAATTGCATCGAGTGTCAGATGTTGCGTGTCAAAATCACGAGGTATACGTGGATCATGCCATGTAGATACACCAGTAGGAGTGTGGAAAAAGTATACTTGACCTTGTTGAGTTGTTCGCATCTCATAACCTGTTGGTAGGTCCATAAATGGGCGTGCTATTGGATTTGTGGCGCTATTACTACAAATGGCATATCGATGACCACCACCACCGCTGTTGCTGGAAGCGCGCGTGCTTCGCGATGAACGTCTACGTGATGGTTCTTCAGTTCCTCTTGCAGAACGTCGCTGTGAACGTTGATTACAAACAGTTGTTCCTGAAACTCCTGTATTTGAAGAAGATGGTACACTACCATTACGTATATCTCTTTCCCGCTCTCTATCACGATCATGTTCTCTTTCTCGATGATTGCCATTTGCTGTTGTGGAACTAGTCTTTGAAATTTGTGAGTTCGAGTTTGCGTTGGGGCTCTGACTGTTATTTGAGCCACTAATACCGCTGGTAGCCACAGTATTGCCATTTCCTGAGTTAGGGCTCAGTAATATACTAGTAGGTGTAGACGAAGAAAGATGATCATTACTTTCGATACTCCAACCATTAATATGCAACTGAGCTGCATTCGATCCGGTTGTACTACCAGCATTACCGTTGGTCTAAATCAATCATATACAACGTACTTTAGTAATAATTCAAAAAGTTTCTATACACTTTATAACTTTACTTATAATTACCTGGTTTTGAATATTCGGACGCTGGGTCGTACCTAATACCAGTGATCCATCACCAGATTCTGACGAATGCTGCTCATTTAATAAATGCCCCGCTTGCTGGCCATTTGAAATTGTTGTTAGCTTCCTACCGTGACTATTGTTACCAGCTTCTCCATTTGAAATGTTACCCGAAGTAAACATAACCGAAGCGGTGGCGGTTGTTGTCGTAGTTGTTACAACCGCCGGAGTATCTGTCGTGGAAACTGTTGTCGACGCTTTATAATCACTTACACGCATCTGCGCAGCTGCTTGTGTAGTAGCACCAATACAATTTTGATTTTGTTGATTGCCGCGTACCTGCTGATTTGGTTTTCTTATATTGGATACCGCAACTGTCAAACTATTATCATCATTTTCCACACACTTTGGACTACAATTCTCCTTGCCAATTTGGACATTAACGTTTGCGTTGACATTATTGATAATACTGCTGCAACCCATGTTCGAACATGGGAGCACTTCCGTCGAATGTCGCCTTTCGTCAGCTGCTTCGGCTCCATTTCTTTCAGAACTGCAGCTATTTTCTCCGTTAAGAAGATTTGTACAAGTGTTCGAACGAGTTGGTCCGGCGGGATGTTGCACATTAGTACCTTCAATATTTTGGACCCTTGAGCGTTGACGGCAACGCATACTGGGTCGATCCCATTGCGTAGATTTCGTGGTATGGTTTACATAATATACGCGGCCATTACCAGCGCGACGCTCTTCCCACCCTTCTGGTAAATTATCTTCAGAAGAATCTTCTTCCGATGGGCCCCGGACATCTCCACTGGGACCCACCACCGCCAAAGGGTTGCCACCACATGGACCATCTTTTGACAATAAGGCAATTATAATCTGTCCACGCACCATATCATCATCCTCAGGAGAGAGTTTTCCCAAATTTAACCGCGTAACTAAAGAAGCATATTTATTAAAAGTTCGTATTCAAATATTGTAAATATTGACGTACATCCCATTCCCTTTAACTTCTGTATTGAATCTGCAGGTATGCGTACACAACCAAGGAATCCACTAGCTTTATGTATTTTACGCTGATTCCAAACTGTAATAGTAACAGCATCGTTACTCCCAATGAAAAGGTCGTAGTGTGCATTCCATTTAGGATCTAAAGTTGACTTGCTAACATCCGTAGTATATATCTGTGCTGTACCATCGACCTGTACTTTAGCGAATGGGTCTGGAAGTCCTGAAAGATGAACAACAAAAACTTCAATTAAACAAATCGTATATAAAATAGAATAATTAATTTTTTTTTAGAAAATTCAGTCTCCACGTTCTGCTAACCGTACTTATGAATGGTAAAAAAAACATTGAACCGACCAGACTTCGGACGCCACTAAATTTTTTAACTCTATTCCTAGAGGAGCTATTAACGCCTTCATCGACTCCCTTCCGTTAAAAATGGTCCTTTGAGTTGCCTCTCGAAATAACAGTACCCCTTCTTATCCAGACTAGCCACTGCCTGTCATACCCAACATATGTCATGTATGCGAAGAGTTCCCGCATGATACTTGTAGCGCATTCACATTCAACTTTCCTTGACAATTCATACTTTAACAACGAAGCGAAGATATAATAAATAATAAAAATGGCGACTGTTACTTGGCAAAGCGTAAAAAAAATTAAAGTTGCGCAACATTTTGCTTCGCCTTGCTGCGTTTCGGTTCGATGTAAGCATACTGATACAAAATCATATGTCGAACTTTTCTGTCAAAGCAAATGTCTGAGGCAAAGCGCAGCAAAAGTTCTATGTGAATCAGCCTTAAAAGTTGTGGATAACCGCTACAATAACAACACATCAAAAATTCTAATGACAGACATCAACGACTATATGTTACATTCCCTAAATTATTTTTAGGAATACCGCTGTGTTGACAGTCCTTGGTCGGATAAAATTCAGGGTCCGTTCCAGTTACCTTGACCTGACTGTCGCTAATTACTGTATAGAAGAATAAAATGGGTATCTAGTGCCAACTCCTACATGTTCACTGAAGTGCCACAGTAGTTGTTTCTATTTTCCTCTGAAAATTAATAAGTTTTCATAAACTATGCAGCAACTGTATACTAAATATTGACAACTTTATATGATCTGAAAAATTATTAATATATTTATTAGATATCAATCTAACAATGTAAATTCAGTTCATTATTGTAGTAACCTACCGTATTGTTTCAATTTGCGATCTATTCGTTGGATAACAAACAAATGATGTAATATAACAATAATAATAAATTTATTACAAAATTTATTTAGCTTCAAAAAGCAAGTGACTTTACACCTATTTTCATATTTTCTCAAAATCTAGCTGAGAAATCTATTACACGACATCGCTAAAAGCATATCCCTAATGTTTTTTTAATATTTACTTCTAAACCTTATTTTTTGTTATGCTTGCATGCACATTTTTGAATTCAATATATTATCCAACATTTTGGCTAATAAGTGATAGTAAATTTTATAAAGTACTACTAGCATTGCAATAACAGGTATAAATACTTACTAAATAAATCCTTACGAGCCAAGTTACGTGCACACAATACTGAAATAAATATTACAAATATCAATTGTAATCCACATTATTCATTATTTTTTAAAAACTTACTCGTTATTCGCACTTTATGTGCTCCATTACGGCGGGGATAATCTAATTTATTCATATTCTGTGTTGATAAAAGTCTTCTCTTTTCAAAAGCAATGCGCACTTTATTGGGCACAATAATTATATTATAGGGCACAATATTTACTCGTTCTATATGATGTGTTTATGTAGATATGAACAGAAACTACTATAACGAAAAAAACTTAGAAATAGATATTTTTTAATTTTTGAAAATAGAATATTACTTTTCAATTTGCAAAATAAACAATATAATTTATGTAGATATGAACAGAAACCAATCAATATAAGTATTTGTTTTTGAAACTTGAATGTTACTTTTTAATTTCAATATAATAGATAAAAATAGTTAATTTTACTATTGTACAATTTTTTATATTATAATGTATATAATAATTAATATTAATAATCAATAAAACGCTTACGTTACGCTAATACCTTGCAAAATAAATAACAATAATATATTTAACTAAAGACACTTCCGATTTTTTATTTATTGTTGAACTTAATCAAAATAGTCTTTCAGTATCCAAATAATACATTTCTAAAAAAAACTAAATACTGTCAATAATTGTGAATAAATGTATTGGCAAACAGATAATTATGCTTAATAGGAAAAAAAGAGCAGAAGGTGGAAGACCACAGTCCACTTGGACAAGACGGAAAGAATCTATACCTTTATATCACCCTATTCGTATTTCTAGTCTCTAGTTTACTCCCATCGAAATAGTAAGATTAAAAGTGGCTTTATACATTAATTTTTTTTATTACGAGGTCTTATTAATTCTAGTAATTTATATGATTTAAGCCAGAGAACTGTTGATACAAGCATTAAGTTATGCATAAATGTTTACATAAACAAATATTCTCTTCACGTATCGTTGTTGGAATATGTATTTTTTCTTTTTCAATGACTCTATGTACGTACATTGATATACAACCATAAATTTTCGTTATAAGTTACCGCACAATCATGGGTTCTGAAATAAAAATCCAAATATGTACACACCAATATTAATTGGATTGATACATTATGACTAAATGCTTTAGTAAGTCTTTGGTGCGTGTTTCAAATTACCATATGTCGGCATAATTTTCTCATAGTCAGAATCTGTTCCACAATCTTCACAATTTCAAATTATTATCTAGTAAGACCTGATATATGTTAATTATCTGATACGAATTAATCAATTACCAAACGATTATTAATAACGAATTTACGTTTATATCTATGCAAACATAATGAATATATATGTGTTAAAATGAATTTATGTACTAATGAATGAAAGCCGTTTCGTCTTATTTTTATGTCCAAACCTCACAATCAGACTAATATATAAGGTTTTATTTTTCTGACATATTTAACTAAAGATTAACACGAGTACATGCAGTACAGGAGTAAAATATTAAGCGTTATTTGAGTACTTTTTACAATTAATACAATAACTTTTTACTGTGATTCCATCGCGTATGTGTGTGTGCATTTGCAAGTTCTATCCTATTCGATTCCATATATTTGTGCTCTTAAGATCTTAGTTTTTCTGTTATAACTTTTACGTTTTGAAGACAATAATAGGGGGTTTTTATTAAATCACCGCGACATAAATTTAAATCACTGATCAATCACTTTACTACAAATTTAATTACTACTTATTAGAGCAAGTGCAAAATCTCGCAAAGTAGAAACGCCATCTTTGTTGAGCAATTCCTTATCGTTCTTCATTTATACTATGACTTTCGTGGTGAATTTGATTGAATTTATTGTGAATCTTTTTGAAAAAGGAAGAAGCTTAGTGTAAGCAGACAAGAAATATTAGGTGGGTGTCTCATTTTCAGTATTTACTTACTAAATATGCATACAATTTCGATATACCCTGATCCAAATCACGAAATTTAGAAACATATTAACTTCGATACGCCATTTCTATGATCGCTATCTTTACATTCCTTCTTGTCAAATAAATTTACATGAAGAAGCAACAACAACATAATGGACTTGATTTCGTGCAAGTATTGATACATTATTAAAGTTGTACAACCGCTGTTTTGTCTTACATATTTTATACAAGTTTACTATTGTAAATATCTGAAATGGCAAATTAATTCATAATTCCTATGCGTAAAAACAGAATGTACGATCACACGTACAGAAAAGTTTCGGTTAGAGTTGGCAGTTGAGCCTTAAGAATCTCATAGAAACTTTAACAGAAATCTTTGATAGGTGAGAAAAAACTTTTTCAGGAATAATACAACACAGTGTAATCAATGATAATGTTATGGGAACTCTTTGAATCGAGAGAGTAATGTCAAAAATCGCATTATTTTTATAATTGGACAGTGGTGCCATTATGGAATCATATATGTTTTCGGTACTTTTATTGTATTTCTTAGGAATTTATCGGTTTCCATACCACAGGTAAAGTATACTTAATCAACATAAGTTTAGAAGCTTGAAATTCTATTAGGCCCTTAGATATGTACATATATAATTTAATCACAGAGGATTATTCTCAATATAACATCATATTTTAACATTTTAACATTCGAAACTCTTTGAATCGAGAGTGCATTGTCAAAGTTCACATTTTTTATAACATTTGACAGAGGTGCCTCTAAGAAAAGAAATAAGCGTTGAGATTTTTTTATGCATTTAATGGGTATTTTTCCGTTCCCATTTTAGAAAAAATATACATAATAAAATTAGATTAATAAGCTAAATATCATATTTAAAGCCTAAATATATATAAATGTACATATATATTTTAATCACAAAGGATTTTCAAAATTAACTTTTAAAACACTTACATGATTTAATTAACCTAAACATGAACCTTACTACATTTTTTTATATACTCAATAAACAAATACTGCTAAACAAAACAATACTCTGCGATAAAAAACACGCTCTATCTTAAAAACAAAACTATATTAAATTAAATAAAGATTAGAAAAACACGTAAGTCACTAAAATATCTGATCTCACAAATAACCCACTGATTTCGCAACTTGTTTTTGCGAGATTCTTAGTGGTATTTCGTTGCTTTGCTTGTCATCTGTTCAGTAATCCATGAACTTTCAGTGCTGCCAAGTTAAATCACGAGATCATGGGCTCTTTCAACAAAAAAAGAGTAGTTTCGAATCATATTATCTATAATACATTGTCCCAGGATGTCCATTTCTTTGAAAGTGCGTGGTGAAAGCAGGAATTTGGAAGTACATTATCTTCCAGCTAAAATAGATGGAGATGGGAGAACTGATGTATCAAACTATTTCAGTTCGTATACACGGGTAGGTCAAGGCAACTTATTGGCAAATGCTATTCGTGGTTTTCCGCTAAATGGAGAAATTGTTGAAGTACCAACAACCCATAGCTCATATGTTTTACAAGAAACTGAGTTTTCGAATACTGAAAAATCGCGCAATATATATGTGACTGGTAGTTTCAATAATTTCTATTATTGGAATTACGATAAAATGCCAAGCAATGCAGATGCATACAAACAAGCTTTACATTTATTCAACATATCCAAAGAGGTAATTTTTAAACAGCAAACAAACTTGATATCCTACATTAAAATTTTGTTTATTATAGTTTTCTGAACCAGTATCTGAAACGGATATTCAAATTGAAATTGAGAATAGGAGAAAAATATAAAAAAAACACTATATAAAGACTTTTAATAAAAATTGAATTTAATACTAGAAATTAGATTGTTATGGAAAATGGTGTCTACTCATCTGCGTCAGCAAAACGCTCATCATTTAAATTTAAATTACGTATACCTCCTTGGGCGTCTTCAGCGTCATCTCTAGCACCATTTCCAACAAGTACGGGGACATTTTCAAGATTAGTTCCGTCGTCATCATCCATAAAATCACTTTCTTCAGAAAGACTGTCAGCAGAATCTGGATGAAGGGCTTGGCACTCGGTCATTGCCTGAAATATAATATCAACAGTATTCACGTCATCTGGAAGAATCCAACATTCAGTCAAATGATCATCAGTGATATCGCCTTCATCATCAGTAACATTCCCCTCATCCACATCACCATTTCTTTCATCATCTAACTGTTGTTGCATAGGAATAATTTCTCCATTTATCTGGTGCAAAATTTCTGCGCCATCAACATTGCCATTCAGATTAATATTTGGAACAGACGCTCGCGTTTCTTTATCGTATACACCTCGCCACTCAAGATTATGATCTAACATAAAATATATACATTTGCTTGGTATAGATGATATCCCATGCACGCTGATTTGTTTCCATAGTATGGAAATACCTTCACTCATATTTTCTGCCTGCCATCCAAAAGAGCTAATAAATACAAATATACATATGTACATACTTATTGTTCAATACGCCAAATTTATTTCACTATTACTTTTGGCTTATATATAATGTTCCTTTTCCAACAATTTTTTCTCCTATTTTCAACTTGGTGTTATTAGCAGTGTAAATTAGACCATCTTGAGGTGGATTTATATGCGCAATTAAAGCCATTGCTTCCAATTAATTCTGCTTAAAATAAAATACCTTAAAAACTTGCAATGCCGGCATTTACAAGATATTTCTTATTGTCTACAGAGGCAATAGTAAATAACTCGATCATCTTAGTATATATTGCTTATATTTAATAGTTATTAGCGAAATTATCATGATAACTATTGCCGGCAATAAATGTCAATTAAAGTAGCCATACACGATACACTAGTGTTTTCGAAAGGTATGAAATATTTTCATTATACACGACATACAGATCATTGTTCTTATAAAATTATTATTATAACATTTTTATGCATTTGATTGCATTTTGATAGTAACATAAATTATCTCAGCATTTATTTTTTTCTATCATATTGTACTCTAAATTTGTCATATGTTTCCAAATGAGTAATTGTGTGCACATAAGCTCATACACGATTTACTTGTGTGCACACCGATCGTTAAAAATAAAAAATTTTTTGCCAACATGCATTCTTATGTACACATACATGAGTAATGGCCAATTAACATAGAACTTTTGCTTCGCTTTGCGTCAGACTTTTGTTTTGACAGAAAAGTTCGAAGCACGCTTTTGTGTGAGTACGTCCACATAAAAAGTTATCGACGCGAAACCGAGCAAAATGTTGAGCAATTCTCACAATTTTACGCTTAGCCAAACAATTGCTGTTAACAGTCGCCATTTTTATTAGAGAGAAACACTGAAAGCAAAGCGTTCATTGTGGCATACCCTTTGTTTTCATTCACTTCATTGTTCCAGTATAAACTGTCACTCCTTAAATCTTACTTGAGTACATATCAATCGAATGCACATGTATGTAGTGTATGGCTTATTTTAGGAATTTAACATGTTTGTTCTCATTTCTACTACTACTGAATTACTTGCAATTGATTAGGTGAGTTAAGAAAAGTTCCTAACGTCTCGTCTTTTAAGAGTTGTATCGAAAATTAAGATTTTATTGTTTTCCATCTTCTTCTTAATTTCTTTCAGCCTTTTTAAATTTTTAAACTTCACCATCTTAAACATGCGTACTACCAATTCCCAAATTATTTTATTAAGATAACAAAGGCCTCACAAAAATATGGTCATTGGTAATAATTTTACTTGTCAATAATTATTAACTGCGGAAACGAGATTATAAATATGTTATGTTTATGCTTTAATATGGATTGACATAGCTTGAAGAATTTTTTTTGTACCTTGTATAAAATGGGCTCATAGCTACAAATTCAATGTCTTTTGTCGATACAGTAGTAATCGATTAATTCGAACATTGAGAGCAACGTTCTCCTCACTAGAAAGTAGACTTGAGGATAGTATTCATACTTTTATTATCGTCATTTGTTTTTTTCTTGTCACAGTCTAGTGAAAATAATTGCTGAAAATGGGCAAACGTCGAAAACAAACTTTAATAGAGTCGGACGATGATACCAGTGATAATGCATCTAACCTTGAATCGGTAGAGTTGTTGTAGTACAAGAGTCTATAAACATTAACAAAAATTACATATATATTTATTGTAAGACGGAATGAAAATAATGTTTTTAATTATTTCTACGCATTTTATAGGAGCTACTATCTCTGGCAAAGAAAAAGTCTAGAACGAATTCGACTCAAGTTAAAGCTGCATCATTGTCTGGATCGGATTCTGACTCAGACTGGGCGCAGGGGGCAAGTACCTCCACTGCTGCAAAAAAGACACGCATAAAAAAAGTTAACAAGGAATCAGATTCATCGGATTCAGAAGAAGAAAATGACTGTCAAAACAAAAAAAATGATATTTTGGGGAAAGAACTTATTCCCCGAGAAGAAGGAGAGGTTTCGGAAAGTGATGGTAAAGAAGAAAGCGATTCAGATTCGAGTTCCGAAGAATGTTCGGATACTAGCTCAGATTCAGAGTTTGATGATGGTTATGATGAAAACCTCATGGGAGATGAAGACGATCGTAGACGCCTAAATGGGCTTTCTGAAAAAGAGCGTGAAACTGAGATTTTTAAACGTATCGAGCAAAGAGATTTATTGAAAACACGATGGGAAATTGAGCGCAAACTTAAATTAGCGCGACGAGGAGAAAAAACTATTAAACCTAATAAACAAAAAAAAAAGAAGAGTAGCGTGTCCAAAAAATTGAAACAGAAATATAAAGATGAGAATACTGAAGAAATAGTTCCAATTGTAGAAAAAGAACCAAATGAAGAGATAGTAATGTCTAATATTACCCAAGATATGGAACTGCCATCAACAATACCCGAGGAGATCATACTTGATCAGAAACTCTTAACAGATGACCAAAATACTGTAGAAAATTTAGATCATAAGGAACGATCCAAAGAACGTAAGAAGAACGTTGAAATGAATAGGACTGACGATAAGCGTAGCACCGCGATGGCAATGCTAAAAGCAAAACGCGAGGGAAAAGCTAAACGAGGTATATTTTAACATGTGATCGGAAATATAATACACTTTTAATTGCAATAACAATTCCAGAGGAAGAGGAGGCTAAGCGTCAAGCGGAACGCGATAAGGAGGAAGAAAAAGAAGAACTAGAAGGAGTATCCGGAGGAAAGTCTTCTGTTAAGCTAAAAGCTTCTGAAATATATTCTGATGATTCAGCTAGTAGCGATACAGAAGACGAAAAGCCTTCCGAAAAGCGTTCACGTTCAGCTAGTAGCAGTAAATCTTCGAGTGAATCAGAAGATGAAGAAGACACTATAAGAGAACCAGTATATATTAGCACTCGAGACGAATTAAACAAATTGCGACTGTCAAGATTCAAAATGGAACGGTTTATTAACCTTCCCATGTTTGAGCGAACAGTTATGAATTGTTTTGTACGTATTAGTATTGGTAATAACGGTCAAAAACCAGTTTATAGAGTGGCTGAAATAGTTGGTGTAGTGGAGACTGCTAAAATCTATAGCCTGGGAAAAACTCGGACCAATCGAGGCTTAAAACTTAAACACGGCACTCAGGAACGTGTATTTCGTTTAGAGTTTATTTCCAATCAAGAGTTTACCGAAACTGAATATGCTAAATGGCGTGACATATGTACACAACAAAATGTACCGATGCCAACAATCGATATGATTGAGCGAAAACAAAAGGATATCAAAGAAGCTCTTAATTATGAGTTTAAGGACGAAGACGTCGAAAAAATCATTGAGGAAAAAAATCGGTTTAGAAATAGACCCACCAATTACGCAATGAGAAAAACCTGCCTAATGAAAGAAAGAGATGCTGCAATGTTACGTGGAGATTATGATGTAGCTCAAGATTTAGGTCAACAAATTGACGAGCTAGAAAGTCGAGCATCAGAACTCGATAAAAAGCGATCAAGTAGCATTAGCTTAATATCTTATATAAATGATCGAAATAGAAAACGAAATGTTGAAGACGCTGAGAAAGCAATTTTGGAAGAAGCACGTGCTAACAAAGGCTTAAAGATTTCTGATCCATTCACGCGACGTATTACCCAACCACGCATGGGTTTCAAATCAGTTGAAAAAAAAAGCGAACCAACCATTCAGCAGACACAAGCAATACTGCCGACCAAACGAAAAGTTGAGGAGAGTACTACGGGCGGTTCAAAACCAACTGAACCTAAAACAGACTACAGCTTATATGCTCTACATGATTTTGACATTGAATTAGACGTATCCCTTTTGAATACTGTTCCAACAACACGATAATAATCAAATTAATTTGTATTCAACAAGAATAAGTTGTTCGAATAAAGATTTTGAGGTAATTTGAGTATTTGCTGTCCGATTTCGCCAATTTTCACAGTGTAGGGGGTTGTTAGCATCTAAAATCACTAATTTTCACAGCGTACGAAGAGGTGCTAGAAAACTTCCTTTTCGCAAATTTGATCAAAATAGTTGAATATAAATTTCCCTTAAATGGCAAGGAATGAGTGTACAAATTTTCATCAAAGTATCTTAAGTCACCCAAATTTCAACTCTTCTCGTTATCCTTATTATATATATATATATATATATTCTCTATATCTATCTCGGTTAGTTTTGGGTATTGCAACCAACCGTTAAGTAAACAAAACTATTATGGCCGATTCAAATACAATAATACGACTAAAAACTGCGCGGACACCCTGTATTTTTATAAAGCAACTCTGTGATTTAGCAGTGCTACCATTAAGAGGAAAACTATACTACAACACGTGTTTTACCTTCATGCTTTTGGTTTGGTTTGATTAGCATTTTTCCGTAGGTTGGAAGAGTTCGTATTGCTTTTTATATATTTTAGAGCCTTTTATATTTAAGTCATGGGAAAACCAGGTGAGCAAAATTAATAAAATTTTGAAAGAATTGATTATATTGTAATTTATCATTTATCGCAAAAAAGGATTTTCACCACGCGGAGGAGGTGGTAGTGGTAGCGGTGGTCGTGGACGTGGCGGGGGTTTTGGCGGTCGAGGTGGTGGTGGCCGCGGTGGCGGTGATCGAGGACGAAGCAGTTTCGGGGGTCGCGGAGGAGGCGGCCGAGGTGGGCCTGGTGGACGAGGTGGAAGAGGTGGAGGAGGTCGTGGTGGACGAGGCGGAGGTGGTGCAGGAGGTTTCAAAGGAGGTATATATATATTAAAATAATATTTGTGTAAAATATTAGGTACTTATTATGTATTCACTAGGTAAAACTGTTGTAATAGAGCCCCATCGCCATGAGGGTGTTTTTATAGCACGTGGAAAAGAAGATGCTTTAGTAACACGAAACTTTGTCCCTGGTTCTGATGTTTATGGAGAAAAACGAATTTCTGTTGAGGTATGTTTTTTTTCTTTTCTATTATTTGGGGTTGTATGCTGTTCAAATGATGAAAATGTGCAGGGGTACGGAACATGGTAATATGTGACCATGAAACTTTGTCGACAAAATTAGATTTGTGTGGTTTGAGACCTTTGCTCGAATTTAAAGTGGCAAAGTTTTAGATTAATGCACTACTGAATTAAATAAGTGGATAATCGCATTTAAATTTTGTAACTCTAAATAATGAGAAACTGTTTTTTTTTAAGACAAATGGCGAAAAAATAGAGTACCGTGTGTGGAACCCCTTCCGTTCTAAACTCGCAGCAGCTATCTTGGGAGGAGTTGATAAAATTCACATGCCTCCAGGCTCTAAAGTACTTTATTTAGGTGCGGCTTCGGGTACAACGGTTTCACATGTTTCGGATGTTGTTGGACCTGAAGGTCTTGTATATGCCGTTGAATTTTCACATCGTTCCGGTCGTGATCTGATCAATGTAGCAAAGAAGCGTACAAATATAATTCCGATAATTGAGGACGCTCGTCATCCTCACAAATACCGCATGCTTGTCGGAATGGTTGATACAATATTCGCAGATGTGGCACAACCAGATCAAGGGCGTATCGTCGCGTTAAATGCGCAACATTTCCTTAAAAATGGTGGACATTTCGTTATATCTATTAAAGCATCATGTATTGATTCTACTGCGCAACCAGAGGCAGTGTTCGCCGCTGAAGTTAAAAAAATGCAAGCAGACAAGTTAAAGCCCCAAGAGCAAATTACGTTAGAGCCTTATGAACGCGACCATGCAGTTGTTGTTGGAGTTTACAGACCGCTACCTAAAAGTGTTGGCGCCTAAATACAATTTTTGTTAGTTGCTTATATTTTAAAGATTATAAATTTTTTTTATAAGATCTAGATTTTAAGCGACATCAAATTCAGATTTAATTACATTAACACCGGCACTTATTTTATGTACGTTTTCAATTACTGCAGTTAAGATGAGTATATTGTAACTGCACTCTAATTTATAGAAAATCGTGTAAGTTGTAAAATAATCGTTAAAATACAGACTTAACGACCAATTGATATTTGATAACAGTGCACCGTTTGTAAAGAGTTCGTACAAAAAATACAAAAATATATAAACTGCGGTATGAGATAAATGACAGTTTAAGTTTATTAGTAAGTTAATTTAAGTCCAGATTTTCAATGTCTAATATATATTTACAACTATTTTATTTTGAAGAACTGCTTCAATCGGAAGTGAATTACAGAAAATAAAAGCCTGATAATAATTCGGGATGTTGTTGCTTTAATACATTAAAAACTACAGACCAAATGTTTGAAAAATACTAGACATAGACTGCGACTTATGAACATGTGTACTATATTTCTTTATTAATACATACACTCAAATACATGTCTTTACAGAATTTATTAGTGATTTTGTATACCCCAATTGCATTGATCATTCGCTCTATGTACGCATACAAATTTGATATATATAATTGTTTTTACCCTTGTTTATGTTCAGGGCATTAATTGCATGCGATTTAAATGTAATTTTAGAATTTAATATTTTATTTTTAAGATATTAGATTTATATATTATTTTTATGCTTTTAAAGCTTACTACTTTTAAAATTAAAAATAATAAGAAAAAATGCCTCGGATATCTACTTAGTGCAGGATTTAACTGCCCCTCAACATATCAACTTTGATTTGGTGCCGAATATATGCAAGTAAAATGCATAGCATGCGTTCGAGGCTCTGTTGCTTATTTGACACTTAGTTGCTGATACTCTGCTGATGTGCAGACAAAAATTGAGGGTTGCACTTAGAGCTTCAAAGATGTCAAACAAGTTTTAAATTACTTCCACGAACAATGAACGTTGGTCCTTATCCAAGTTTAATCTTGATTTTTATTGTTTTAAATTCGTTAATTTAATTTTTTTGTATTGTATTTTGTAATTATAATTTTGCACGTGTTTTTAAGCCGATACTGTCGATTGCACCAGAAGTCTCAAGGTGTTTTAATAGGCAGCCTAAGTATTCCTCACGATGCCTCATAAAATGTGCTGCATGTTGTGAATGCTCCCAACACTTAAAAGTACATTTTATATTAGCACGCTCCCAATTTTCACGTACTGCGTGATTCGACGATGGTGGTCCAATACTATCATTTTGTGATACAAAAAACAAAGCTGGTTGTTTAATTAAAGTAGAGTGAAACATTTGACTGGATCGCATATAATGGATAGTAGCTTGATTATGGAATGTTTTCATATGGTAACTATATTAAGAAAAAATATTAAATAGAAATTTCAACCATTTTAAATCCACATGTATAATAGTTAACTCACAGGATGTAATTACGCAAAGCACTTTGCATTCGTGGATTTTTAGGAAAAAGCGACTTTGGCACTCCAACAGGGATTTCAGTAATATCGGCAGCGCTATCCCAAATTTGACAAACAATTCTGTCTAATATACCTGCATACCTGTATATATGAATAAAAACTTTTATTCTAGCAATATAAATGCTTAAAATTTAAACGATCAATACGTACGTAAAAATACTACATCCATCTACAATATGATGTTTAATTAACTTCAATTTAGACGATTGCATTTTGGCACTTACACTTTTTCTTGAATTTGGTAACTTGATTCTTTACTTATTTTAAAGGTAGAAAAATTAGAAATCCATCTTGACGAGAGCAAAAAAATCTCTACCTTTTTTACCCATGTCAAAAGTTTTTGAAGGTATTTTTGCACATTTATGACCATAATATTATCCCAAAAATATTCAATTCCTACAAAACTTTCCATACCGCTCTTTATTACGGGACATCTGTAACATCACTTCTCCGAGTTGATACGCCCCCACAGAAAAGCCATGAACAACAATTGGCGTATATGATCCATTATTATCCAAGAATTTAAGGGTATCTGCAGCCACAACCTAGATTTGAACGACACCCAAAATTACTTCCTTATGTAACAAATATTAATTAACAATAAAAAAGTTATCCATAATCATATTTACTTGTGTTCCTTTAACGGGCCAAAGAAGTTGCCATGGCGTCACATGTACGATCATAACATCGAATCCCATTTCAGTGTAAATTTGAGCATATTTCTTCAAATGTTTTTGCTTAGCCATTAGCCACGCCATCATTAAAACAAGTGGATTCCCAGAAGGCTCCTTGATTCTAAACGAATAGAAAGCAAATTGACATGTATATTTTAATTTGTAATAATTGATATAAAAAAGAAAAATATTCACTAACTCCAAAGTCTTTGGATCCACTTCACCCTTAAACGGTTCATTAGTGAACAAGGTCATATTTTTTGTAACCTCTTTAGATGAAAGGTAACGACAATTCCAAGGCACCATCGTCTTCTTACCAAGAAAAAATACCAAATAAAGATTATATTAGTTAAACTATATTAACATATAATATTAGTTATATAATATTAACATACACACAAATATAGTAGGAGAAATTTATGCCAACAAACAAACATCACCAATATTCGATCAAATTAATTCTTAATAAATAAGAACCATAAAAATAAAAAAGTATAAAGATATATATATATATATATGTATATATATAGAAGTAAAGTGTTTAAAGGTAATTTGCATTAAGGTTTTCTTTTCGTGTTTACCAGTCAAAAACTAGCCCAACATAGTATAATTAGTATAATTTAAAATGTATCTGTTCATTATAGAACATCATCTAATCAGGATATCTCCCGTAGAAAAGTACACTCCAAAACTGGGTATTAATTACAAATAAAATAATTACCAAATAAACATAACAGTTGTATATACTGTTGGAAATATTTTTCGAAATAAATATGGAAATTCCAAAAATGTAGGGGTCATTCACAACAAGTGGTGACCGGGTAAATAATACAGTGTCAAATCTCAAAAGCTTTTTTGTGAGTAAATGCTAACAAAAAACAAAATATAACATATTTTGTTTTTTTTTACATTATGTTGTAATTTCATTACCATTATATTACTTAAATAACTTAATCTAATTAAAGATTATTAATTTTTAACAGGCTTACTTGATCAGTGAACATAGTAGACTTGTAACTCGAGTTTGCCTTCTGTAGACTTGAAAAGTGTCGGTAATTTGTTTTCGAACCGGTAATCAATCGGCTTGTTAAAATGGTGGAATGCCCAAAGTTAGGAACTAAAGACAAAATGCCTTTTTTATTAATTAATGCTCAAAACAAACATATATCAACAAGTAATGATTTAAGAGATATAAAAGTATATATAGATTTTTTTTTTGACAATATATAGTAGTTTTTATACTTTTTACCATTGGAAATAAAGCCAAATGCAAGTGGTTTTGATGTCGTTGTACTTCCTTCTGCTTGCAGGGGGAATGCAATGGTGGCATTTATTGATTTTTTTGCATTGCAACAGTTTGTTTTATTTAAATTTGACGCTACAGACAGTAAACGCAAAACACGGGTAGCGCCTGTAACGCATTGTATTGAAGAAGCCATTTCGGATCCTCTGACCAAAAACTATGATCGGTATAATATAAAATGCATAAACAATTTACGTTGAACCTAAATTGTACATACATACATACAGTTGTATGTGTATCTATTTACAAATATCTGGCATGTGTGCATTTACATTTGATTTGTTTCTTCACCAAAATATTACTCTACAATGAATTTAACTATTTAAACAAAAGCTCATATCATGCCTTTACCATCAGGAGCAGATAAAAATTTTAATATAAGCATTCAAGAAAAATACAATTTATGTATACTTATGTATGTAAATATGTTTGTACTATATAAGAACTGGCGCATTTAAATCAGACAATATGTACGTATGTATGTATAGTTTACACATACATGTGTAAATAGATTTTTGATCGTACTTAAACGCACTAATTGGACTTTGCTCTAATGCGCTTAAGAAAATAAAATTAGCAGTATATTGCAAAGATATTATTTTTAAGATATAATATATACATATTCATATATATTCAACAGTCCAGAAAATAATTTGAAATATACTTATGTAATTAAATTTGAAGCTTTCAAACTTTTTTCTGTTTATTTTCACTTTTTTTATTTTAGAATGTTGATAATATTTTAATCGAACGAATATCGAAACGAATGCTTTTAAATTTAAAGTGTAAAGAAACCTTTTATAAACCGACAGTGAATAATTACTTCTTTTTCATTTATTACAATGCACAGAACTGCATTTGTCAAAAATTTGCAAATACATACACACAGATATAAATAAGATGTGAATCAATCTCAATGTATAGTGAAGACCCGTATATAAATTACAGGACGCACGCACAGAATACTCTGTTATATTTGGAAAATTATTTCAAAAACTTTATAATAAATTTAGTTAAATTTTAAAGTTAAGTTAAGCGAATAAATTAACAGTTTATCGTCAATGCACGTAAACCTGCCCAGATAATTGTATGTAGACTGCGTTCAGACACGACAACTTTATCTGCGGCAGTTCGAGTTGTGGAAAATTTCAAAGGATACGTACAATATATAAAAATATTTAAACTTAGATTTGGTCTACATTTTTGTATGTAATATATACGCAGAGTATGAATGCCAAAATTTCAGCTCTTTAAGGTTTGCTAAAAATTCAAAGACATATTTGACTTTGCATTTACTTTAAATATTATTCTCTGGCAATACCTTCGCTGCCAATATGACAAATAAATACAATGCGTACATATAGAAAGTAAAAAGTGCCTGGTTTATTATGAAATATTTATAGTTCAGTTAATAAGTGAATAATAATTATGCTCCTGTCCTTCAGAACTGCTGTCCAATCAGCGTACGATAACATTTAGAATTAATGGTTTATTTATACCCAAATATAGTTATATAGCAAATGGTTTACTTATAACCAAAATAATTATATTCCAGATCACAACTACTATGCCAGGGGAGATATCCAATTTGTACAATGTATCATCGTCAAATGTCAAATATTCCCAAACAACCGTCTAATGAGAGCTCAAACGAACCAATAAAGTTCTTTGGAAGCCAAGCTGCAACCTGGCGTGCACGGGATACGAGAAGTGGCGGTTCTGAGGACATGTTATGGTTTCAACCTTATGTCATTTCAGGAAGTTTGGCTGCATTCTTATTGTATTTCTGCGTACTCCGGGAGGAAAATGATATAGACAAACGGCTAGAAGGTAACCTGTTTGATCAAGTTACGGGTCTGGAAGAAGTACAGCTTACCGTAAATTACAAATATAACAAAGATAATGGTTTGGACACTTCTGAAATTGAAAAACGATTATTAGAACTAGGAGTCGACATAAAGCTTTTAGATATACGATAAAAAGAATGTATAACAATTGAATACGACGATAGTAGTAGTCACAATATCGGTTAAGATAATGAAAAAGATTTATTCAATTGTCTATGCAATATTACCTAATTTGAAAATAAAACAATTGGTGATTTGTAAATGCCAAAGGCAAATTTGCATATTCAGTTCAATTTAATTTCAACATAATTTGAACGTAGCATTTAAGAAAAAAGAGCAACAAGTAATTTGAAGCAAAACTAATTGTTTAATTCAATACGAGTCGCTGTTTTAACGGCATTTTCCGCTTCATGAGTCCATAGATGACATTTGAGTCGGTAATTTTCGTAAAACATTTGGTTACATAATGAGCATTGTAATTTTGGTGCTTCATGTGTACGTAGATGTACATTTAAACTGGTGCTACTCTTATAGGAAGAACCGCATAAATCACAGACGAAAGCACGTATGTCGGAATGAGTCGCCATATGTATATTATGATCCGATTTTGTGGAACTTTTTTGACTGCATAATTTACACTTCCATACATGTATCTTAGTATGCCGATTTATATGGTGCTTCCAAGTAGAAATGTGCAGAAAACTCTGTTTGCAATAACGGCATTGAAAAGGTTTATCTGCTCCATGAACTTGGTGGTTGTGTATCAAAAGTTGATTTTGCGTTTTAAACATTCGCTGACAGTCATTACAACTTGTTAATTTTAAATGTTTATGAGGAACAAATTCTATCAACTTGTTAAAATACTCAGGATGAGCAGACACATAACCACCCCGACTCCAACGACCTCCTGTAGATTCATCCGGCTTAGCTATCTGTTGTGAACGAAGATATTCCCGCTTAAACCATCGAATCAAGGACAATATGCTGGACCTCGCCAATTGTGGTGTTATATTTATATTGAAGTGTTTTTTCATTTTTTCGCATATTATCACAGTACTCTGATCCCTTTTTTCTTTGTTGTCGAAATCATGGTGTTGGATATTCCACTGGCAAGGATGAAGTCGAATGATATCAATAAATCCCAATATAATAGATGGATCAGTAGATCGCAATTGAAAAAAGCAGCGTGTAATTGGCTTTGCAGTTGAAAACTAAAATAAGTAATATTTTATTTAAGTATAGTAATCTGTTTGGCTGCATACTTTTCGAAGTTTTTTCCCTGTGTTATCATAAGCATCATATGTATTTGATTCCGCAGAGATGTTTTTTTTTACCAAGCCCTTGGAAAATATATATCCGTTTTAATGTTGTTCAAAGTTCACTTGTAACTCTTACCATTAAGAATTCCGGCAAAATCTCGATCTCTAAATTAACTATTTCCTCTTCGGGGACAATTTTAAATTCTTTTCGGCATTTTGTAGTAACATCAAAGGGATTTTCGATATTCACTTTGTATGGCAATATTTCGTTTTCTTTTGAATCAGGTTTGTCCTGAAGATCTGATTGATTTATATTTACTTGAATCATTTTCTTTCCCATTGATTATTGATCGCGGCACTGAGAAAACAGCAATATGATTTATTATCTAAAACAAGAATAATTCCCTAATGTTTTAAAATCAATAGTGATATTTCTGTATAAAAATATTTACACCTTCGAAACTTTTACTCGTTGCTTTTGAAGCAAATATCAAAAATGGGATGCCATCACTGTCGGAAAAATGTATTTAAAATTGTCAATTTTTCTTATTCTTTCGAATATAATAATATATAAATATTTACTATATATTTTTAAAAAAATAACAAACAGAAATATATAAGAAATATTTCACTACAGAAATATATGGCGCTAACAAAAAAAATACGGCATATTGATTTCGATCGTATTAACTGTAATACAATCGGGATGTTAACATCTCTATCTAATACCATATGATTTATTTCAAGCTGAAATAAGGGAAATAACAATGCTGAATTTCGCAAGGTTTTTACTAAATAAAAATGGGGCTTTGACGGTCAATCGTCAGATATCTTTATGTCGTTATAACCATTTGCTTAGTCGCAATTTCCGGAAGGTAAGGTAATTAATGCAATTTTAGAGAAAATGGATATATGCATATAACATTTCAGAATATTAATATAGAATCTAAATTGGGTAGAAGTTGCCAAACACGTTGTAACAGTACACAGAAAAAAAATGATAAAGTAGTAGGTTCGTGGCTACTATGTTGCGGTGGTATGGTATATGTTGCTGTAACTCTAGGTATGTCTAGTAAGGTAACCGCCAGTAACTTTTTTACAATGTGTGTAAGATATTTTTAAAGGTGGTATAACAAGGCTCACAGAGTCAGGTTTATCTATGGTGAACTGGAAATTGCTCGGTGAAGAAAAGCCAACGACTATAGAGGAATGGAAAGCAGAGTTCTCGAATTATCAGCAGTACCCAGAGTATAAATTGTATTTATTTATTAATATACTATATATAAGTATTAAAAAGGAGTAACAGTATGTTTCTTTTCCAGGAAAAACCGTTCAATGACTTTGGAAGAATTTAAATTTATATATATGATGGAATATATTCACAGAATGTGGGGCCGTGGAATTGGAGCTGTTTTTGTAATTCCAGCAGTTTATTTTTGGAAAAGGGGCTATTTAACAAATTCAACTAAAAAACATGTTGTAATACTTGGCGCACTCATTGGTTTACAAGGACTTATGGGTTGGTACATGGTTAAATCCGGACTGGAAGATAAATTTCAAGACGTTAATGATGTACCTAGAGTATCACAGTATCGATTAGCTTCACATCTAGCTGCCGCATTTGTTCTATACAGTGTGTTTTTGTCATCAGGATTGAGGAAATTATTACCTTCAACCGAAAATTTCACGTCGTCAAAAAATCTTTTGCATTTAAAAAAAATAGCGAATTTATCCAAAGGGTTTGTATTTCTCACAGCCGTATCAGGAGCGTTTGTAGCGGGACTTGATGCCGGTTTGGTGTATAATTCTTTTCCGAAAATGGGTGATAAGTGGATTCCTGATGACATTTTATTATATCAACCGATACAGAGAAACTTTACGGAAAACCCCACAACAGTGCAATTTAATCACAGAATTTTTGGAATTACAACTCTACTCACCGTTTCTCTCTTATGGATATACTCGAGAAAATGTGTTTTGCCAAAACGTGTATTGTATGCTATAAACGCCACTATGACAATGGCATGGTTACAAGCAACTTTGGGCGTTTCAACTCTATTAAATCACGTCCCCGTACATCTTGCTACAGCTCATCAATCTGGTTCTCTACTGTTACTTTCGTTTGCTCTTTGGTTAAGTCAAGAACTGCGGTTTCTAAAGTATATTCCCAAATAAACTGGGAAACAATAAAACTATGCTTTCAATTAGTATATTTATTCGTATGCATTAAAATAAAAACTATTGTATAATTACTTTTGCAAAGACTTCATTATACTTAACAAAAAATAAAGTTATATGTATAAGGTATTGGTAATATAAATTATATTATGAAAGGAGCACTACCGAAATTTTCGTTGAGTCAAGATAAATTTGTATAAGGCATTAATATTAATGAAACTAACTAATTTGAAAATTTTTAAAGATATTGATCAGTTTGAAGATATTCAGGGGTGTTGTGGAATCCAAGACAGATTTGCTTAGTTGCCAGGATTGCAAACCAATTCTGATTTTCAGTGTCACAGAATCTGATTGCATTTTCGTCTTTTTGAACATATGCAAAAAAATATGTATTCAATAGATGTGATCTCGATATTCTTATCAAAGGCCATATGCCAAGTTAGTTGCAAGTATAGTGGGTGATAAAACGATGCGATACGTTTGTGATATTTCTAATTCTTTTTAAATATATAACATAAATAATTTTGTGTTTTGAAAGTTTTATATTTTATAAATAAAATAAATTAAATTTTTAATAATATGTGCTATTATTATTCACTCTCTTGGGTTTTTGCTCAGTTTTCTTCTTTTACATACACTTCTTAATTTGCAAATAAATGCTTACACCATTTACTTGGCAATAACAGTTTGGGGGCAATTCTTGCCTGTGGAGAAACAGTGTATAAGTTATTGGCAATAAATTGCTATTGTAACAGATTTTTTGATAATTAGTCTACCTATCACTCATTCAGTTCGATCACTGGATTGTTAAGTAAAAGTTTCAATTTGATGGCTATACACTTATTTTTATTTCTAACTCTAACAACTTAACCTTTTACTACTTATTATCCGAGCTTACAAATTCGTAATTATATCACAATTCCTCTTAACACGACACACTCTAACTAGTACTGTGTCTTCTGCATAACCAGGTAGTGCTCTTTAACAAAACTTCGCCACTAAAACATTCTGGCACCTACGAATTCGCTGCCTAGTTCTGGCAATTTATCGTCGATTCGATTTTGTTCTATCAATCATGTTCGATACTATTTTGGTAGTTTGAAACCCTAATTTTTATACCCTCTCAACATGTTGCAACAAAGACTGTAATAGTTTTAATGACCCTGACCTCATAATATGTAAACAAAAGAGTCATTGACCCCACAAAATGTAAACAAAAAGTTCATTGAATCCCAAATGTAAACAAAGGTTGTGGACTTGGCTCAACGTAAAAAATGGTTGTGGACTTGGCTAAATGTAAACAAAAAGATCATTGACCCTATAAAATGTAAACAAAAGGGTCATTGACCTGCAAAAAGTAAACAAAAGGGGCATTGAACTTATAAAATGTAAACAAAAGGTTCATTGACCCCAAAAAATGTAAACAAATGGTTCATTGAACCCAAAATGTAAAAAAAGGTTGTGGACTTGGCTAAATTTAAAAAATGGTTGTGGACTTGACTAAATGTAAACAAAAATGTTATTGACCCTATAAAATGTAAACAAAAGGGTCATTGACCTGCAAAAAGTAAACAAAAGGGGCATTGAACTTATAAAATGTAAACAAAAGGTTCATTGACCCCACAAAATGTAAACAAATGGTTCATTGAACCCAAAACGTAAAAAAAAAGGTTGTGGACTTGGCTAAATGTAAAAAGGTTGTGGACTTAGCTAAATGTAAACAACAGGGTCATTGACCTGCAAAAGTAAACAAAGGGCATTGAACTTATAAAATGTAAACAAAAGGTTCATTGACCCCACAAATGTAACAAATGGTTCATTGAACCCAAAATGTAAAAAGGTTGTGGACTTGGCTAAATTTAAAAAATGGTTGTGGACTTGGCTAAATGTAACAAAAAGGTTATTGATCCTATAAAATGTAAACAAAAGGGTTATTGACCTGCAAAAGTAAACAAAAGGGGCATTGAACTTATAAAATGTAAACAAAGGTTCATTTACCCCACAAAATGTAAACAAATGGTTCATTGAACCCCAAATGTAAACAAAGGTTGTGGACTTTGCTAAATGTAAAAATGGTTGTGGACTTGGCTAAGTAAACAAAAGGTTATTGACATTATAAAATGTAAACAAAAGGGTCATTGACCTGCAAAAGTAACAAAAGGGGCATTGAACTTATAAAATGTAAACAAAAGGTTCATTGACCCCACAAAATGTAAACAAATGGTTCATTGAACCCAAAATGTAAAAAAAGGTTGTGGACTTGGCTAAATTTAAAAAATGGTTGTGGACTTGGCTAAATGTAAACAAAAAGTTCCTTGATCATAAAATGTAAACAAAAGGGTCATTGACCTGCAAAAAGTTAACAAAAGGGGCATTGAACTTATAAAATGTAAACAAAAGGTTCATTGACCCCGCAAAATGTAAACAAATGGTTCATTGAACCCAAAATGTAAACAAAGGTTGTGGACTTGGCTAAATGTAAAAAATGGTTGTGGACTTGGCTAAATGTAAACAAAAAGTTCCTTGATCATAAAATGTAAACAAAAGGGTCATTGACCTGCAAAAAGTAAACAAAAGGGGCATTGAACTTATAAAATGTAAACAAAAGGTTCATTGACCCCACAAAATATAAACAAATGGTTCATGAACCCAAAATGTAAAAAAAGGTTGTGGACTTGGCTAAATGTAAAAAATGGTTGTGGACTTGGCTAAATGTAATCAACAAGGTCCTTGATCATAAAATGTAAACAAAAGGATCATTGTCTTGAAAAATGTAAACAAAAGGGCAATGACCTCATAAAATGTAAACAAAAGGGTCATTGACCCCACAAAATGTAAACAAATGATTCATTGAACCCCAAATGTAAACAAAGGTTGTGGACTTGGCTAAATGTAAACAAAGGTTGTGAGCTTGGTTTATTGAAAGCAAAAGGGTCACTATTTCACATATGTGTTCCCAAATCGGTCGATTTGTGAGTTCTAGTATTAAAATTTTTTTTATGTAGAAATTAAAATAAACTTTATTGTTTATAGCTGATAATAATAATTCGCATAATTATTTTGATAACTATTGCACTCCATTGGCAATATTGATTATTATGATTATTGAAATATGTCGAGATAGCAACTATGGCATGTGGAAGCAATATGATACACGCAATAATTAAAGTAGTAAATTAATTGGCAACATTAGTAAACTAAGTAGTTTGGCAGCAGTGGTGATATTTTCAATTATTTATTAAACAATTCTGTGTAATAGCTTTGTTATTCGTGCCACAATGGCGCAAAATGAATTTAACACATTTCGAAGTTATGTCAATATACTAAGTGATCCTGCAGCAAAAGAGGAAATTAAGTTTAAAGCTGCACAAGAGCTTAGTGAACATTTTGAACTAATTGTACAAAGTCCGTCATATCCTGCATTTTTAGAACTAGCATTGAAAGTGTTTATAAGGATATTACAGGATGGAGAGCCGCAATTCATTCAGGAAAATAGTTCTCAACATGTAAGTTATATTCACATACATGCATAATAAGTAAATGTTATATAGACTATTCAAATCCTACTTATTGGTAAGATATTAGGTGCTGTAATCGAGTTTGTTTAACGTGGGACTGGCTGGGAGAAATCCAGCTGTTTCGATAGAGTGAGTCTAAAGAGAGGGGATGTAAAAAAATGTTGACTTGTTACCTGCAGGTCATTTGTTGATATTCCGAGGTCAAAACTGGATATATAGGAGTTATTCTTTGGAAGCGAGTGTGTAAGGGTGTATAGTGCTTCCATTGGACACTTTGATTGTTGTGTAAGATGAAAAATATATTTAGCATAGTTGAAGAATGTGTTCTTGATGTCTCTAAAAGACGGTTCTCTTCAAGCTTCTGCTGCTTGAGGTGATTTTGATGCATAAACACGTTTCGGTATTCAAGAAACGTTAAAAACGAGATGCATTTGTTAGAAAATTTAAACGCTTTGGATCACTTAGTATATGCTATGTATCTCCATTAGCACCCTCAATCACCCACCCAGCACCATCAGAAGTGTGGCCGTTGGCGAAAATGCTCTTTGATAGGTTAATGTGTCATTCTTTTGCGGTCACTGGCGTACAAACCGGTTGCAGTAGGTGGTTGTCACTAGATAGACACAAAGGGATATATAGACACAAAGGTGCGCTTTAATTAGAGACATTAACCGTTAGCTTAAAGTGAGCAGGAGCACAGCAATCGGCAAAAAAAAAAAATTACGAATAATACTAAACGCTTTGGAGTAATAGATGCTATTGGCTTTCGTTATCACTGGCAATCATCCGCCAAGAACCATCAGCATTGTAACAATCCTCTAGGGTTCACCACGATCGATGTTATATGCGCACGTATGGTCTTTTTTACATTTTGGGGCCTTCTGGCTACCGGAACGCTATGACGGTGGTCATAATTTGTCGAGCAGGTTGGTGATTTGACGATAAACATTTTCTCATGCCAGAGCAGAGGTTTTAGGTCTTCAAGTGATCTAGAATGTCCATAGACCTAGCGCTAGAAGGTAAAAGGATAATGCGTTCTTGTAATAGTAACAAGGGTGCCCTTTCTTCCGGGTTCATCTGCTTTGCAATTTTCTAAGGGTCTGATGATGAAGTTGCTTGATACCTGTAATAGTGAGGACAGGCACTGCTTAACTAATTTTGATCGCACAGTGCACGAGCTCATAAGAATACGAGAATGATTATCTCCTTGAAAGAGACTGCACTTAGGAGCAATATATCAACTGCTACCCTAGAGGCAACCACATCTGCTTGAAAAAAACTGCAGTGACCGGTAGCCTGAAAGTATGTCCGACGGAGAATTCCTTACAGAAGACCAACTTTGCCTGATCTTCAATCCGCATTCCGATGGAACTATATAAAATTTTTATGCCCTCCGAAACCTTTTCGATAAAAATTTCCCTTTTGTCCGATCACATCGTAACAGTTTGTTTCATGGACTTCCCGTTAAATGTTTTCGATGACAATTTATTTGCACTCCCCTCCAAACAAGGTTTAGACTCATCGCTATAAAAACAACAACATTATTTATATACAATATATTATATAAATTAATTTTTTGATATATTTATATTTACTATTCATTACATACTT